GATAAAGAGAGAATCTTCAAATCAGCAAGAGAAAAGCACTTATTTACCTACAAGGGAGTTCCCATAAGACTGTTGGCTGATTTCTCAAGAGACATTTCAGGCCAGAAGGGACTGGCATGAAATATTCAAAGTGATGAAAAGCAAGGACATAGACTCAAAATTACTCTACCCAGCAAAGCTATTATTTAAAATCAAAGAACCGATAAAGAGCTTCCAAGACAAGAAAAAGCTAAAGGAGTTCATCACCATCAAACTAGTATTATAAGAAATATTAAAGGGTTTTCTTTAAGAAGAAAAAAAGATAAAAAAATATGAATAACAAAATGGCAGTAAATGCATATCTATCAACAATTACTTTAAATGCAAAATGTGTTAAATGCACCAATCGAAAGACATAGGTGATGAATTGACAACAAAACATGACCCTTGCATATGCTGTCTGTAAGAGACTTGTGTTAGATCTAAAGACACACACAGACAGAAATAAGGGATAGAAAAAGGTATTTCATGACACTGTAAACAACAACAAAAAGCTGGGGTAGCAATACTTATACCAGACAAAACAAACTTTAAAACAAAGTCTATACAAGAGAGAAAGAAGGACCCGGCAATTTCGCTTCTATTTGAAGAAACACAAAAGACTAAATTGAAAAGACATATATACATTTATATGTTCACTGCAACAATTATTGAAAAAAGCCAAGATATAGAAGCAACTTATGCGTCCATCAATAAATAAATGGATAAAGAAGTATTGCATATATACAATGGAATATGACTCAGCCAAAAAAAAAAAAAAAGAAAAAGAAAAGAAATCTTGCCTCTGCAGCAACATAGATACACCTAGAGGGCATTTTGCTGAGTGAAATAAGTCAGACAGAAAAAGACAAGTGCCAGATGATTTTACTTATATGTAGAATGTAAGAAACAAAGCATAACAGAAACAGATTCATAGAGAACATTTTGATGGTTGCCAGATGGGAGGAGCATTATGGGAATATGTAAAAAAGGTGAAGGGACTTAGAAGTACAAGTTGGTATTACAGAACAGGCACAGAGATGTAGAGTACAGCATAGGTAATGTAGTCGATAATATTGTAATAACCATGTATGGTGTCAGGTAGGGACTAGATTTACCAGGGGGATCACTTCATAAGTTTTGTAGGTGTCTACTCACTGGATTGTACACCTGAAACTAATATAATATTGTACATCAACTGCAATTAAAATGAATAAAAAAGAAAATATATATTATTTGTGATCTTGCATCAACTGTAATTCAAATAAATAAAAAAGAAAAAAATATATTACTTGTGATCTTGCATTCACCAAGAGCAACTGGCATTGTTTTCAATTATATGAACTGAAAATGTCCAGGACTTCTGGCCAAGGAGGAGGCGTAGGTAGACACACTGTGCTTCCTCACACAACCAAAAAAAGGACAACAACAAATTTTAAAAAAAAGCAACCGGAACTGCCAGAAAATCAAACTGTATGAAAGTCTAATAACCAAGGAGTTAAAGAAGAAACATTTATTCAGGCCAGCAGGAGGGGCAGAGACAGGCAAAGACAGGCAGTTGGACAGAGAGGACTCGTGACAAGGCAGAAGCTGGAGGACTAGGTCAGACAAGGCGGCAGCTGGTGACAGGGTGAGGTGGTGGCTTGCAGACTGGATGGTCCCACATTCACATGCAGATAAACTGGGAGGAACTGGGGAGCAAGACAGACCGTGCAATCCAGGGTACCAGTGAAGGGAAATAAAGCCTCAAAACCTCTTACTGAAAACACATGTCAGGGTTGAGGTGGCAGAAGAAACTCCCAGACTTACAGGAGAGTTTGTTGGAGAGACCCATAGGGTCCTAGAATGTACACAATTCACCCACCCAGGGATCAGCACTAGAGGGGCCAATTTGATTGTGGGTAATGGGGGAAGTGACTGAAATTCGGCAGAAAGCAGAGCAAGCACCACTGTTCCCTCAGACCCCTCCCCCACATACAGCCTCACAACTCAGCAACTGGGTTGCCCCGCCCTGGTGAACACCTAAGGCTTACTACATAACAGGCCCACAGAGACAAAAACAATGGCCCAAATGAAAGAAGAGATCAAAGCTCTAGAAAGAAATACAACTAAGTGATGAAGAGATAGTCAATCTATAAGATGCACAGTTCAAAACACTAGCAATCAGGATGCTCACAGAATTGGCTGAATATGGTCACAAATAAGAAGAAAAAATGAAGGCTATGAAAAGTGAAATAAAGGAAAATGTACAGGGAACCAACAGTGACAGGAAGGAAATCAGGACTCAAATCAATGGTTTGGAGCAGAAGGAGAAAAGAAATATTCAACCAGAACAGAATGAAGAAACAAGAATACCAAAAAAAAAAAATGAGGAGAGGCTGAGGAACCCCTAGGACAACTTTAAACATTACAACATCTGAATCATAGGGGTGCCAGAAGGAGAAGAGGAAGAGCAACAAATTGAAACTTATTTGAAAACATAATGAAGAAGAACTTCCCCCATCTGGCAAAGGAAATAGACTTCCAGGAAGTCCAGGAAGCTCAGAGAGTGCCAAAGAAGTTGGACCCAAGGAGGAACACATTAAGGCACATCATAATTACATTAGCCAAGGTAAAAATGAAGGAGAGAATCCTAGAAGCAGCAAGAGATAAGGGGACAGTAACCTACAAAGGAGTTCCCATCAGACTGTCAGTTGATTTCTCAAAAGAAATCTTACAGGCAAGAAGGGGCTGGAAAGAAGTATTTGAAGTTGTGAAAGGTAAGGACCTACATCCAAGATTCCTCTATCCAGGAAAGCTATCATTTAGAATGAAAGGGCAGATAAAGTGCTTCTCAGATAAGGTCATGTTAAAGAAGTTCATCATCACCCAGCCCTTATTATATGAAATGTTAAAGAGACTTATCTAAGAAAAAGAAGATAAAAAATATGAACAGTAAAATGACAACAAACAGTTATTAACAACTGAACCGGAAAAAAACAAACAAAGCAAACAACTGGAACAGGAACAGAATCACAGAAATGGAGATCACATGAAGGGTAATCAGCAGGAAGGGGGTGGGGGGAGAATGGGGGAAAAGGTACAGGGAATAAGTAGCATAGATGGTAGGTAGAAAATGGACAGGGGGAGATTAAGAATAGTATAGGAAATGTAGAAGTCAAAGAACTTATATGTATGACCCACGGACATGAACTAAAAGGGGGGAATGCAGGTGGGAGGGGGATGGAGGGGAACAAAGCGGAGAAAATGGGACCACTGCAACAGCATAATCAATAAAATGTATTAAAAAATAAATACAAAGGACCAAAAATGTTAATGAAAGTATAAATTTTAGTGATATAATAAATTTGCAGAAAAGCAAGTCAGAAAAATCTTATGATCAAGATATCACATATTAATACATATATTACATAAAATTATTACACCAAAATATTTGCAATTTATAACTATATTGTTACTCAGGTATCACTCTTACCCCATTATATTCTATAAGTGATAAGACATTTTTAAAGGAAAAGCTTTATATTTTAGTCCCTTTAATGGCATGATTTCCTGCTTTTTGAAAATGAGTTCCACATTTTTATTTTGACTGGGACACACAAGTAGCTAGACCTGATTACAGCTTTACTCCTGAAGGCCTCATCATTTTTTTTAAAGATTTTATTTATTTATTGTTACAGAAGGGGAAAGAGAGAAAGAGAAACATCAATGTGTTCCCTCTCACATGTTCCCAGTTCCCAGCAACCCAGGCCTATCCCCTGACTGGGAATCAAACCTGCGACCTTTTTTTGATTCACAGGCCGGCACTCAGTCCACTGACCCACACCAGCCAGGGCGGCCTTGCTATACTGACTGAGTCATTTAACTTTTGTAACTCATTTTTTACCTCTTAAATGGGAATGATATTTACCCTGCTTTGTAAAATTGATGTGTAAAATTGATTATATTTATAAGTATATATATATTTTATAAATATATACATACATGTATGTGCACACACACAGTGGTTTGAAAAGGTACGGGTGCTTTAAAATATGGAGGCACTGTTGATCATGTGAAATATTTTTCACCTCTACCATTCCTTGACTGAGAGTCTTTAGACAAACACACTTCTTACCTAAAATGAAGAAATTTAGTTCATTATATTCTTCGGAGTTTTCCAGACTTTTGAGAGAGAAGTTACATTTGGTCAAAAAAGTGTATCATTGTGGTAGACTAGTGATTTCAGGATGGAATTCATCTCTTCCTATGACTAATAGCAAGTATAAACTAAACATGATGTCAAAACACTAGACTTCCGTCAACACTCTTAAAGCCTCAAATTCCAAATAGTGTTTGTGAGGAACCCTGTGACTTTTAAGCACCTGAAGGCAACTCAGCACTAGGAGAGCCGAGTTCCTCCAGGACCACCCCGGGCAGTCCGTAGATGCCACACAACCGAGTGTAAATAAAATCACTGGTGTAAGTGAAGAGACAAGCAGGCTCCGGCGCCAGGCTGCCTACAGTCGGGAGCTCCGCCAGCCTGGAGGACAGGGTCTGAGCACCAAGTAGAGACGGAGGCAGAGGCGGGGGTCCCAAATCTGAATGCCCAGTCCGCACACTCTGACCATGGGAGCGGGTGACATTGTTAACCCACGGTCACTGGGGTTTTTCTGAATCCTTTGTACATATTCCTGAATCTCCCTCGAGACCATATGTAGGCGACTGCCTTAGGGGTGGGGCTGGGACCTTGGGACAAGAACCTGCCTGACTCCAAAGGGCCAAACTTGTAACTGATCAATAGATTAACGAGCTGGTTGGGGGCAGAATTCCAATGGCTCCAAAGCCTCCTACAGATCGCCAGCATCTCCCTCCTCCTCCAGGGCTGTGGAATCCACTTGGTAGTGTTCTCTCTTGCTGGCCATCCCTCCCACTGCCTAACCTTTGCCCTTTCTAATTGCCCTGATCTCATCCCAACCTCCATAGCTATGTTTAAAGTCCACCTCTGGGGAACACAGACTGAGTGTTCCAGATAATCCCTTTTGCGGTCCTGCCCGACCTCAGGCCTACGGGCTGTGTGCCTGGGCTTCCCGGGACTGGCTGGGGTCTGAGGAGGACCCACCCAGCTACAGGATGAGGCTGGTCACCAGCTCCTTGATTCTGTGGCTCAGCCTGGGGGGCGGCCTGGCACAGAGCGACACCAGCCCTGACGCAGAGGAGTCCTATTCAGACTGGGGCCTCCGGCACATCCGAGGCAGCTTCGAATCTGTCAACAACTACTTTGATTCCTTTCTGGAGCTGCTGGGAGGGAAAAATGGAATCTGTCAGTACAGGTGCCGATATGGTGAGTACACACGGTTTCTCTTTCTGTAAAAGCTGCTCCTGGTGGACCTGTGAACGCCACTGCAGGGTCACAATGGGCCGTGAACTTTTTGCTGTCATTCACCTCTTAGGTAGGCTTCACCCAGTGAAATCTGAATCTCAAGTAAACAACAGATAATGTGTTAATACATTTGAAATAGAGGGTCCGGCACAAATAACGCCCCCTCTTTTTATTACAAAATCATGAGCATGTGATTCTGTAACATAACAATCTCACACTCAAGCACACCATATGACATTTTAGGTGAAATGGTCGAATTAACTGTATAAACTATTACACCCATATTATCACCCTACCAGCCACACTCAAGCAGGCTTTACTTCTGCTGGACCCTGTATGTGGGAACCACTTATACTGACAAATTATTGGTTGTTTATCTGAAATGCAAATTTCACTGAGCTCCCTGCATTTTATCTGGCCATTTGAAGGGGTTTGTCGTGAGGCGGCACTTCGGGGAAAGGTGGCGTGGACGAGCAGCGAGAGCACAGAGGTGTTTGGGAGTTCCTAGGATGAAGTGGAAGCTGTGCATCCGGAGGAAGTTTTGCCAGGGGCTGAGGTAGCTTCCTAAGTCACTCTGCACTAAGCCTGGAAATGGAATTTTCCCCCTAGTGCTGTCCACACCGTCCTTCCAGCTTTGCAGGTCCCTGATAGGATCTGCATGTTGCCTCTCCTCAGTCAGCAATGGCAGGCCTTCAGTGGGCAGGAAAGGTTATTGCCAGCTGCCTCTGCCCACCTGGGACCAGGCCCTGAGGGGACTGGGACTGTCCCTTAGGCCTGGTGCCAGATACAGCATTGTGAACGGGTAGGAGCATCATCACCTGGCGCCGAGGTAAAGAGGAAACCTGGGTGCCGGGATGCATGCCTGGCTGCCAAAGAGGAGACCCTGGGGCCAGTTCTTCCTTCCCTGCTCTGAAGTCCACGTAATGGGAGCTGAATGCTGAGCCCTGGACCTCAAAGCTGGGAGGCAGGCAGTAACTTCAAAGGCAAATGCTTTAAAAAGCATATGCAGTCTCATACAGCATTGGTTTTATGGTTGAGTTGATCAAATGTTTCATCATGGGGCTAGAGATAAAAATAGAGAGCCAGTTTAGCCCAGCAGGAAAACACTTGCGAAATGTTTTCTCCAAACACTCAGCACACAGAACTCAGCTTTGAGAGAGACTCAGAAAAGCTACGTACTTGTAGACTCACCCAGTCTCCCTCTCCCCTTTTTACCTGCAGGCAGGAAAACTGCTCTCTTATAAGACAGAACTGACTGGGAGACAGTGGTTAACCATTTCTCCAGAATAAAAACTTCTGCAACACAGAATTTTAACCACCTATGATGATGAAAAACGAAGCTGCATTTTCTCTGTGAAGATGCCACAGGGTAAAAGCCTGGTCTCCGCCAGGACCGGCTTGGACCCCCAGCCATGGCTTTGTTGAAGGCGGGTTGTACACGAGCAGAGAGGCCTTGTCACTGGACTGTTCTCGGCCGGTCCACACCAATGGGGCAGGAAAGCGATGAACTCACTTCAGATCTCAACACAGGGGCTCTTTTCCTTCCCAGAGGCAACACAAGATTTCTCTCTGTGGTTCAGCACATACATACCAGCAGGAGTTTTTTTAGGAACACAAGAAGCAACACCTTTCTTTAGCAAAACAGCATTAAAAGATTTCAGCAAATTCTAGCTGAAAGCTTCTACCTGGGCAGGCAGGGTTGGTGTCAGCTGCTCTTGGTGGGGGATGGGAATAGTCAACAGAGAGATTGCACGAAGGCAGATAACTCCTCTCACTCTGCAAAACAGAACTGTTCAAGGAGGGGCCTGAAACGCACATAGAATATATGGGCGAGGCCTTATTACCTGGGGACCCAGCAGAGAGGAGGACCTGGATGCGGTGCCTAATCGGTACAGAATATCTTTTCAACTTGATTGTGAATCAAGCATTCTTTTGAAGAGATAACACCTAATAATTAGCAGAGTCTGTGCATTTTAGTTGGCCCTGTGATACACCTCTCGTACACAGTGTGTCTCTTCCCTCTTTAAAGCAGAGGTTCTCCGACTCACCTGGACTCTAAATCCACTGCTGGGCCCTCGTCCCTCCAGTCTCTGATTTGGTTGGTCTGGGGTAGGGCCAGAAAATGTGTGTTTCTAACCGTTCCCTGGTGATCCCGATACTGCTAGTCCAGGGACCACACGAGAAAAAAAATGCTTTGAAGGTTGCAATCTTTTGCCAGAAAGAACAATTTAGCAGCAATTAGCCTACAAGAAAAAAATTCTATTTCACAGGCACTTACCAATACCAGGCATAGTACCTTGGGATTGCGGGTTTCTTTCCAGACCACCATGGTAAAGTGAGTTTCGACCACCAATGAAACAAGTTGTAATCTTTTTGCTGGTGGAGGGTCTCGTGGTCAGTTTGTAAAAAACACAACACCTGTGAAGCACAATAATGCAAGGCGTGACTAAAGGAGGTGTGCCCGCGCTTAAAACAACGGTTTGCTACCTTGGCCCTGCACTTAGAATCACCTGCAGCTTCCTACCAAGCAAACCAATTAAACCAGAATCTCTGTGGGCTGGACTGAGCCAGACAAGAGTATTTTTAACGTTTTCCAGGTGATTACAAAGTGCAGCCAAGGTTTGGAGCGGTATTTAAAAGGTCATTCTTGGAGAATTTCAGCCCATAGGTTGTTCAGATGGGTAAAGGTGTGTTTGTACCCTGGTAGCCTACAATAGCGTGTCAACATTGCGTCCCACACTTCTTATATTTAGAGCAATTCATTTTCATATCAGGACACAAATTCTGGTCAAAGGTCGAGCTACAAACAGTACAAGGAGATTCAGAACCATCGACAACACACATAGTGCAACTGTTATAAGGAGTCTGCACTGATGTGGACAAGATTCCCTCTCCCACTGCAGAGGTTCTGATTTAGAGGCCTGTGGTAGGACCCTGGAGCTGCTCTGGTGGTCGGTCCTAAGGGGAAAATCATGGGTTTGAATTGGGCGGTGGCAAGTGGAATCTCATCGCTGGTGACCTTGAACAAGTTACCTAACTCTCAACCTTTGTTTCCTCATGTTTATAAATTATGTTAATAATACCTACTTTGGAAGGTTGTTGTAAAAATAAAAGATTGTATATCTAAAGAATTACTGCTATGGGCTCTAGATGGGTAGCTTAGTTGGTTAGAGCAGGGTTCCCCTACACCAAGGTTTTGGGTTCAATCCCTGGTCAGGGCACAGACAAGAATCAGCCAGTGAATGTATAAACAAGTGGAACAACAAATCGATGTCTCTCTGTCTGTCTGTCTCTCTCAATTCAATTTAAAAAAACTTAAAGAATCCTTGCTATGTATGGCCCATGACTGGTGCCAAACACATTTTATGAACGTTATGAGAAAGATGGTCTGATGAACAAGTTAACTGTGCATTCAGATTCTTCCAGTTCTTTCCCAGCATTAACAAACAAACAAAACAAAACAGAAATCCCAGTGGCTGGACAGCACCCTCGGTTTCTGGAAGAAGTCGCTGAATGATTTGAGGTTCTGTGTCTGTGTGAAGCTCTCAGGCGGAGGCTCCCTGGAACAGAATGTCGTGTCTTAGAAGTCGTGATTGAAGATACTGTCCGCACTGCCACACTTTGTTTGAGGACCTTGTGAGGAATTTCTTTTTGGGCTTAGTTCTAAGGAAAAAAGTATCTTCAAATATCAGTCTTTTTTTTTTCATTAGACATTTTTTTATCTGTTTGAAATCTTAGAGCAAAATTTTATGGACCTGTGAGTTTGTATTTTTCCAGGGACACAATTCACAGCCTTTGTCAGATTCTTCAAGGGATCCAGAGCCCAAAAAAAGAAAACAGCTACTGGTTTAGAGACAAAGGTGGTTCTCGTGCCAGGACGCCCAATTGTCCCACTTTGCTGGGGACTGAGGGAGGGGTCTGGGGTTCCTGGGGTGTGGAGCTTTCAGTACGAAACAGGGACAGTCCCAGGCAAACTAGGTCAAGTTGGTCACTTCATGCCATAACTTTATCTACTTGAGCAGCTGAAATAGAATTCATTGATTCAATAAAACTGTCACAGTTCTGCTTTGTTCCCTTGATGTGTCACTTGTATGTCATGCTTGAGTGTTTCTGGAAGTAAGCAGGATGTACATTTCAGGTACAGGGCTCTGCCTCCTGGAGACCTGAGTGAAGCACCGGGCTGCTTCTACCAGAACCAGCTCCTCCTCACAGAGAGGGACTCGCCCTCCTGGGAAGACTTAACCCTTGACCTGGGTCGGAAAGCCCCAGGAGGTTTTACTGCGCTTTTTCAGTGACGAAACTGAGAGAAAAGGTTGGCTCCAGTGGCAGCACGCACAGCTGCAGGGAGAACTAGAGTTCCCTGGCTGACTCTCTTCCAAAATCACTCTCAGTTCTGAGTATTTCAAGTGTTTTATGGTGACTTTATTCAGAAGTTTCTAATTTTCATCTATCAAGTCTGTCAGTCTTTATATTTTCTGAAATTTTTGTCTTGCTTAGAAAGCCATCCTCACATTATGATTATAAGAACATTCTGCTATTTTTTTCTGGGAAAGCAGTCAGCTAAGACATAATAAATGAGTACTGCTGTGTTCCAATGACACTTTTTTATGGACACTAAAATCTGAATTTCATATAATTTCACATGTCACAAAATATTATCCTTGTTTTGGCATTTCCCCCACAACCATTAAAAAATGTAAAAATCATGTTTAGCTGGCAGACTATACAAAAACAGGCAATGGGCTGGACTTGGGTCTTTGGGCCAACCAGTAAACGATGGGATCGAGCCATCAGCACCCACTCCTATAAATAGCCCAAACCAGAAAATAGCACCAACTTGTACATTATTAATGCCTGGACTCAAAACCTCAAACTGTAAACTCAACACAACTCGAAACTACTCACACTATAATTTGAAGATATAGTATATTATTCCCGTCAAGACTCAAATCGTCAACTTTTTCCTTTGAACTTGTACTTCAAGCTTCATTCCTAAACAGATTTTCTGCAACGATCATAAATATTAAACACAATAAAAAATAACCTCCATCAATAGCACACCAGTTAGGAAGTGTCTATAGCTGGCGTTTCCTTGTCTTTCAAATTGGGAGATCAGAGGTTTACATTCTGTAAGTCCTCAAGTGCAGTGAAGGCAGAGGGAACACACGGGGTCTGCTGTGAAAGGCCCGTAACAGGAGAATTGTTAAAGGTAACTTTACCATCAAATCTAGACAATTGTTTCTTCATTATGTTTTTTCTTATTTCTTTAAAGCTAGTACATATAGAACATTTGTAAAAGAGCAATCCAAAAAAAAAAAATAAAATCACCATAATCTCACCTCCAAGATTAAATACACATTTGATCCTATGGCACAGTGTAATTATTTTCATAAGTGTAATTCAATTACTGATATTAGTTAATACACTTTACCTGTTTCCCCTGCCAGTGCTTCCCTCTCTCTCTCTCTCTCTCTCTCTCTCTCTCTCTCTCTCTCTCTCACACAGACACACACACACACACACACACACACACACACACGCAGGTATAGTAGAGTTTTCAAGCGTAAGTTATACTTCTTGAGACCTTCGAAAAGTAATGCTGGCATTACTGGCGGGCTGGCAGACTCCATCAATAGGTATGTTCCCTCTCCGTTACAAAAAAGAAACATTGAGTTAAAATAAAACATTTAAAAAAATACTCAGACTAGAATGAAATAAAGGGAAACTTTCAAGTTCCAGAAATCAAGGGAAGACACGAAGGGACAGCAGAGAGGGGAGCCACCACTGTGGCCATGGCCCATGGGTTTCCAGTCTGGCACACAGGCAGACGCCAGGGCTGGGGAATGGGCTTTAATGCTCAAAGAGAGGAAAAGTAACCCATTACCTTTCCTAAGAACTGGGAAATTGGAACTGTATTCTTTGCACAAAGCTTAGGACTGAGGAGCTGCCCAGGCTGTTTAAAAAAGATTAGAAACCCTCTATCCAGTATTCCAAGGAAATAGCAAGGATGTTTTCTAGTCACCTAGGGCTAGGGCTTGAAGGACAAATAAAGAACAATCACTAAAAATCTACTACTCCCAGCATATTCTAAGCACAGGTGAGAAATCTGAGAGACTAACATGAAGGATCTTGAGACTCCTAGCGCCGCAGCAAAGGCAATTGAGGGACCGCTCTATAGTGTACGACGTGTATGACCCAGAACACAGGAGTCCTTCAGAAAAACGAGCCATTCTGAAGACGAGTTCTCACTAAAAATTTACACAACATGTGAAAAATAATACACCATAAGGGAGAGTCAGTAAACATTAAAAAATGAAAGACTTAACATCCCCAAAGCTGGAGAGAATAAAATAATCTACAGAGTCTAGCACAAATAACACCCCTTTTTTATTACAAAATCATAAGCGTGTCATTCTGTAACATAACAATATCACACTCAAGCACACCGTATGACATTTTAGGTGAAATGTTCAAATTGCTGCCCATCTTGTGTGAGGTATCACGTACCCTACCAACCACACTGAAGTAGGCGTTACTTCTGCTGGACCCTATATGAAAATAATATAATAATATATATAAATAATATCACAAGAATTTTTGAAGTTATTAAAGGAACAGAAAACATAATAAAAATAACTCAATGAAAATGAACACACACATTTAAAAGAATTAAGTTATATTCTAAGAAATGAAAATTATAGTTATTGAAAGAAAAAACTCAGTGGATGAGTTAAATAGCAGATTAGTTACGGTAGAGAGAATTAGGAAAATATGAAATAGATTTTATGAAGCTAGTAAAAATTCAGTATATAGAGAGAAGAAATTGAAAACATGAACGCGAGTTTAAGGAGCATAGGATTAAAAAGATTCACCACTCAGTGATGCGAGGCCCAGAAGGAGAAACTAGAGGAATGAGGAAAACAAAATATTCAGACAATGGCGGTGAATTCTTCAGAGCTCAAAGAATCCCTAATCTTCGGATTGTTCCAAGCAGGATAAGGATATGTAATTTTTATCTAGATACGTTGTAAACTGTGGGGGTGGGGAGAGATTGGAACCCTTGTGCAGTGCAGGTCGGAATGTAAAGGATGCAGCTACTAATGGGAGGAAAAGACAGAAAACTGTAATTGAACAACAATTAAAATATTTAAAAAAAGGATGCAGCTACTGAAGAAAACAGTTGGACTATGCCTCAAAAAGTTAAACATGAAATTACTATATGACCCAGTAACTCCACCCCTTCAATATATACACGCAAAAGAATTGAAAACAGAAATCTGAACAAATACATGTGCACACTGTTTATAGAAGCACTTTTCCCAGGTTGAGTCAGAGGATGGAAACAACCAAATTGTCCATCAGTGGATGGATGAATAAGCAAACTGTGGTATTTCCAGAGAGCGGATTCAGCCATGGAAAGAAATGGGGTAAAACACAGATAAACTGTGAACACATTAAGTGAAAGAAGGCAGTCACAAAATGTTAGATATTGTATGATTCCACTTATTTAAATATCCAGAATAGGTAAATCTCTAGAAACAGAAAGCAGATGAGTGGTTACCAGGGATCGGGGTGGGGGACGGAGGGGAATGGGGACCAGCTGCTTAAAGGGCACGGGATGTCCTTTGGAGGAGGAGGGAACGTTTTGGAACTAGGTAGGGGTGATGGTTGCACAACATTATGAGCGCACTGAATGCCACTTTAAGATGGTTAATTTTATGTTATGTGAATGTCACCTCATTGAAAAACAGATTAATTAGACTTCATCAAACTTTTGTTTTTCAAAAAATACTATCAAGAAAGTGAGAACACTTTATTGAAGGACAAAAGAAAATGAGAAGCTTTACTTTGCCCATGTTTGAGAAGACAGAATATTCTAGGAAAGTCAGTTGTCTCCATATTAATCTATAAGTTCAATGTATGTTCAAGCAAAATTCTGACCATCTTGAACTGTGGTGACTCTCAAATTCAGATGCAGGTGTAATTCATATCCAGGAATAATCAAGACAATTTTGAGGAATGATAAAGAGGGAGGGCTTTAGAGTGTACATTTAGTATTTAAAAGTTAAAATGAAAATGGGGTGCAAAGGGGCTTCAACTGTACTTGTAATATTTAATTTAAAAATTTTATAGGAAGTTTGATGATGTTAACCTTTATTATGTTTGTGTAGTGGGTTCATGGGTGTTGGTTTCTCTGATTTTTTCTTCAGTTTTGAAATTTTGTAATAGAATAATTAAAATATCTGATAGAAGACTAAAGAAAAAAATAGAAATGCCACGTACCTCACTTCAGGGATTAATTTTTAGTTTTTTTCTTCAGTCTTACACTCTGTCTTGCATTTCCTTAAAGGAGAACATGGGCTTTGGAGGCAAACAAGACATGTGGACTTACCTCCTACTTCTCCCACTTACTGTGTGGCTTAGGCAAGTCACACGGCCTTTCAGTCCCATTCTTCTTATCCAGGTTATATTGATAAAACTACTCACTGGAAATGACTGTTCTGAGGTCACCCGAGGTCAAGTCGATCTTTATGATGACTGCCATTGATACAACTGACAAAGGTTCCTTGTACATATTTGCAAGATCATTAAATAACTGAAATGCGAAAAGGCTGTACTTGAACAACAATAAAAAATAAATAAATAACTGAAATGCCATGTAGGAGAAACCAAGACATTAAAAGCTTTTCAGACAGGTTCTGCTTAGTTCTGTATTAGAAATGCCAAAAATAGGGGTGTTTTCTTTGTTCTTTGGTCAATAACAGTGTCTGCATCTATGGAATTTTGCAAAATTCCATTCAAGTTATTTTGGAAAAATATTTGTGGTAGTTATAATTCTGATTTCTGAAGTGTATGATCAGGTTGTGTTTTCCTTTTTCTGTGCAAGGAGTGAGGCCGGGCAGTGGAGAGAGGAGTAAGAAACCCTAAGTTTCAGCTCTGTTTTGCCAGGCACCTCATCTTCAAGGTCATGCACTTAAGAAACGTTAGAATTCTTATTAAATAAATGCTCATAAAATTCTTCGAGAGTAGGAGAAAAATGCCAAGCTTGTCCTTTATGAGATCATCATCACTACCATCATCACCACCTAATTTGGATGTATCTGCTGAGGAACAATAACTTTGAAAGGAAAAATTGAATTGGCTTTTAGATAATTTTTATTTCATGAATGCTTCCAAATGCTTCTTCTAAATGTTTCTTCCTGCTTCTTTGCTTTCTTTCTCCTCTAGGAAAGGCACCAATGCCCAGACCGAACTACAAGCCTCAGGAGCCCAATGGCTGCAGCTCCCACTTCCTGGGTATAAAGGTACCAGAAAGTGTATGTACCACCCCCATCACGTTCTTAATGGATTTTCTTTTTTTAATTTATTTTTTATTGTTATGCAGTTACAATTGCCCCAGTTTCCCCCCCATTCTTCTCCCCCACCATACGCACCCCCACCTCCCACATTCAATCCTCCCTCTTCCATTGTCCCTGTCCTTTATACATGTTTCTTGACGACCCTTCCCCTTCTTTCCCCCATTATCCCTCTCCCCCATTCCTCTGGTAATTGTCAGTTTGTTCTTTATTTCAGTGTCTCTGGTTGTATTTTGCTTGTTTGTTTGCTTTGTTGATTAGGTTCCACTTATAGGTGAGATCATATGGTATTTGTCTTTCACTGCCTGGCTTGTTTCACTTAGCATAATGCTCTACAGTTCCATCCGCGCTGTTGCAAAGGGATTGGTTTTAATTAAGACAAATTCAAGAGTTATCACTGATGGAAGTGATCACTTATAGAATATAGTTGAGCAATGTGATTAAGATTTTAAATTGGATACAGAAGAAGGGAGATAATTTTTAAAAGAAGTATCTGATTTCCTTTACTCAGAGGCAGCTGTCTCTCAGATAAGTCCTTATACAGTGAACCAAGAAATTGCCATCGCAAACACCTGCCAAGCTTCAGGGGCTCAGACATAACTAAATCTGAAACAGATCTGAGGGCTTTTCCCCCACTGTGCTGGAGCCAGCTGGCACTGACCAGTGAGAGCTGATTGGGGAGCATCGTCAGGACTTCTCGTGTCGGGAGTGTCAAATCAGCTACTTTTGGACTATTAACATCATAGAAATCTGCAAACATCCTCCCTAAAATAACCCTCCACACACACATCCAGCCACTGGCTAAACGTTTATCATGCACTGTGGACCATTTCTCAAACTGCCGGCCTCCCCTGAAAATAAGTTACACATTAATTTCTTTTAAGACTTCTTTAGTAAAGAGGTTTTATGTAAAATGTAGGCAGAGGAATTTCATATCTAAACTGATTTTTAAATTGTAACTTTACTAGGCTCAGCTTTACTTTTCTGATGATTCAAAAGATTTTACTTCGTAATAATTGTCTAAGCAGCATGATGCTTATTCTAACTAAATCCTGCTCCTCTGTGTGGCATTTTTATGCAGATTGGAAAATGGTCCCCTTCCCTCAATACAGTATTCTTCAATTTGTCAGAAATTTATCTTAATATGCTGATTTTGTTAGAAAAGGAAACTTGACTGCTATTGGCTAGACATTTTTCTTAATAAACATATAAATCCATGATGTCTTGTGGGAAAGCACCCGTAGACATGATCCTCTGGAGCATCGAACAGCCTGCGCAGCTGTGCGCCCAGCCTTGTCCGCAACAGTCAGCATGTGCATGGACACAGGAGAAAGACACTCATTTCAAACATATATTTATATTAGAAACACCACCTACTTTTGGCCAATGTATTTTACTTGATGCCAGTTTAGCAGCTATGGAAGTCGTATGCATTATATTTTAGAAGTAATGTCATTTGGTTTGCTGATACAAACTCGAACCAGTTCAGGAATTTCCAATTCAGTTGGATTGAGTGATAGCCTCTGTACTCATAATTCTCAGCTACCTCTGTGTGATATATTTTTAGTTTTAGGGGTAAGGTATAAACAAAGTAGTTTACCCAGAATTGCAGAGCCCAGGCCCCTGCCTAGTCTAATAATGAGTTAGATTATCTCTTAATGTTGCTTAAAAGGGCATTTAAACTGTCAAACTGCATATTTTGCTTAGGTGGCTTTGGAATAAAAGTTTGAATAAGAGAACACTTAGGAGACCCAAGGGGAAAGGACCCATAATAGCTGATGAATCAACCCCCACCCATGCCCTGAAACCAGATTTTCACAGATTCTATCCAAGTCCAAGTTTATATTCTCAGAAAAACTGCAAAAGATTCCAAGATGCTCTATCTACACCTAGACCCATCCTGTTTCCATCTATTTTATACACCATATGATGATTACTCTTCTTTGTTCACTCTTTATATCATGTCCCTTCCTCACTCAAGTGTTTATCAAGTCTAACTAGTTCCTTTGGAAGTCAAAGTCATCCATCAACTTAGCCTTTTCCCCAGTGAAAACTTTTAATATGTATGCATTTCCCTGCTAAGACTCTTGAAGACTAAACAAACTAATTGATCTGCTCACATATGATTTGCTCATTATTTCCTTCCTTTACCTGCTATTTTCTAAGTCTACCCTAATTTCTGTTAATCCTCTCTTCATCTTCTTTCAAAATCCTCTAAAAAATTCCTGTTTGATCACTTTACATATGGCACTCTATGAGCTTACTCAGCTCATGCCACAACATTTACATTGGTTAACAAATGTGCACACATGTGTGTCTGGGTGTGTGTTAGATGTGAGCAGAGTCCCTTGTGTTCAGGAGCTCTGTGTCCTCGCCCTGACTTTGCCCCCAACACGTACACACACACACACACACACACACACACACACCATTAAAACAGTATGCGGTGGGTCTCTGATCAATGCTGGTGACTGCTTGAGGAGCTAAGGCTTTATTTTCCATAATTCTGAGTCTTGGGATCCTTTGCTCAAACAAAATCTCACATGAGTTTTAGCTAAATTTGGAAGTCTTGAAGCTCTGTTCCTGGACTAATGTTCAATTTCTATTTTCATCACTGTAGTGGCCTGTGGATTTAAAAATTACTACAATCCAGAAGAAGAGAAAACAGATCACTCTGAGTTATTAAACTAATAATTAAATTGTGATTGAAACTTACCATCCTGTGACTATCAGCCTGACATATTCTCTCAAGTCACTGGTGTTTCTCAATTGACCTGAATATGTGGCAGGAATTTGAGAATTGGCTCACTCAGCATAAGGGCAAGGTTGCCTAAGGTCCCTGGTCTAAACGTGGCATTTTCCTCCTTCTCTTTTCCCCAGATGGACTTGGGCATTCCAGCAATGACCAAGTGCTGCAACCAGCTGGATGTCTGTTATGACACTTGCGGTGCCAACAAGTATCGCTGCGATGCGAAATTCCGATGGTGCCTCCACTCTATCTGCTCTGACCTGAAGCGAAGTCTGGGCTTTGTCTCCAATGTGGAAAGTAAGTATCTTAAGGGCATGTACCTATGAGCAGGCACTTTTGTTCTTGTTTTCACACAGAAATGTATTCAGAGACCCTTTTTTCAAAGAGGCCGTGAGTGATCATTGACCTTTATGGAACACGGAACCATGCAGGAAAGGCTGAGGGGGATGCTGGGCACTCATGCGCTGAAGCTCTTGCTGTCTTGCCCAGGAGCTGCTGGCTCCACTCCTGATGGATGGGCCACACCAGGGCCTTCCCAGAGACATAAAAACTTACCCATTAACGTGGAGAAAGAGTTGCCCAGTTGGCTTTAGCTATCCATTCCACTGTTAAGTAATTTTCCATAAAAGGAATTATTCTGTATGGGATTGCTTGGTTATTTTCTTATTTTGTTCTCAGTCAGGGAAAAAACTTTCTTAAAAACCTATTTTTTTGTGTGTGTAAAGGTACTTGTATACATGTACTTGAGGATAATTATTTTTAAACAGCTGCTTAGCTGATTTCTAACACTGATTCTGTAATTTCTTTTTCCTAATTCACTTTAGGAAAAATTTTAATCCCTTAGTTTCTGAAGCCAGAACATTACACCCAGGTATTAGCAGTATATATATTTTAGATGGTGATGTTTGAAAGTCCAGCTTATAAAAAACTGACCCTGTACCACTGAGAAGGTCAGTAGGAAAAATTGAGATCTTGTTCAAAGATCCATATTCAGAGTGCAGTCCTTGAATAATCTATGAGGGCTTGAAAATACAGATGATTGATTCGGCCCTGCAAAAGGGAATCACTCTGCCTGTACCAGCAAAGGGTGAGGAAGTACTTGCTGCTCATCCAGGGTCAAGTCAAGTTACTTTCTTCAATCAACGCCCTATTGGTTGTTTCTCCTAAATATCTCTGAAAACTTACTGCAAATTAACTCAATCTCTGGGTCCCATCAAATTTATTCTCCCCATAGGGACCAGACATATTTTTACACCATATAAGTCTGGTCATCTTCCTCTTCCTTAGGATTAAATTCAAACTCCTTGCTATGATATACACGTGTTCATCTTTAGCCTCCCTCTTTAGCATCACCTTGCTTATTTCAGATTTCTCTCCTGACTTTTGCCTTTCCAAGGTACTTGGGTTGATGGCCCATATCTTTCTGCATCTGCAGTTCCCTCTGCTTGGAACACTCTGATCATTCATTTATTATTGTTGTTGAAGCAGCTTTATCGATGGTGAAAAGCTGAAAGCTTTTTCTCTAAAATCAGAAACAAGACAAGGATACCCACTCTCACCATTTCTATGCAACATAGTATTGGAAGTCCTAGCCAGAGCAATTATGTAAGAAAAAGAAATAAAAGTAATTCAAACTGGAATGGAAGACACAAAAGTCACTACTTGCAGGTGACATGACATTATATATAGAGAAACCTAGAATCCCCCCAAAACTGTTAAAACTAATAAATAAATTTAGTAAAGTTGCAGGATATAAAATCAACATACAAAAATCTGTTGCATTTCCATACACTAATAACAAACTACCAGAAAGAGAATTTTAAAAAAAATCCCATTTACAATTGCATCAAAAAGAATAAAATACCTAGAAATAGATTTAACTAAGGAGGTGAAGGACTTATACACTGAAAACTCTAAGACACTGATGAAAGAAATTGAAGAAGACACAAATAAATAGAAAGGTAGCCCATGCTCATGGACTGGAAGAATTGATATTGATGTCCACACTACCCACATGAATCTACAAATTGAATGTTATCCCTATCAAAATTCTAATAGAAGGTGTTCTGAGATGCCTTCCACAGCAATCCTTACCCCTAAAGGGATAGAGACCCATGCTGTGGGCTCCTATACCACCTTGGGGTAATTTCAGTTACGGCGTAGTGTAACCATCTCTTCACCTGTCTATTTGTCATCCTCTTTTTCTAAACTGTGAGATACTTGAGTTGGGGTCCCTTTGGTCTCTGTATCCGTGATGCCTGACAGAGTGGCCAGTCAGCGTATCCAACAGGCACACATGTTTTTCAGTGAGTAAATGGCGATTCACCCCACACTTGAACAGGGAAAGCTACAGGGAACATAGTAGTGTTATCTGAGCAAGTGTTCTGCAAAAATGATAAATTTTCCATGGAATGACCATAGTGGTGTGGAAGATTCCGATGGCTAACCATGGTTTTGACCTGGAGGCCCATACAAGGAGGGTACCCCAAAGTATATTCTGCTCTACTAGATTAGATGGAAGCTTCTCTGAAAAACCTTCTTTTCAATGTATGCTTTTCCTTTAATTCTGAATTTGAGTCATTACTTCTACTTTCCTCTGGGTGTGATGTCAACCTTGGAAAGACACTACCTCTCTAAAATTACTCATACTGCTTGGGGGTAGTTTTAGGTATTAACTTTTATACTTCTCTGTGTATTTTTCAAGTAGCATGCGATTCTCTGGCTGACACTGTGTTCAACACTGTGTGGACCTTGGGCTGCCGACCCTTTATGAACAGTCAACGGGCAGCCTGCATCTGCGCAGAAGAGGAAAAAGAAGAGTTATAAGGAAGAGGTGATTCCCTGTTGGTTCTGAGTGACACCACAGCTGTCAGTCCTGGAGAGGGGAAAATGGGGCAGATGTGTCTCATCCCTTTTTCCAAAAGCTTGGACGCCTCAAAGCAGGAGGAAGGAAACACTTGACAGCTGGAACTTGAGTCCCATCCTTTGAGGAGAATTGGAAAGAAGACACGGAGTGATCTGAAGCTCACTCGTCACTTTAACGCTGGTCTCCCCAACTCAGACACATTCGCCTGGAAATTCAGGCTCTTCGCTTAAAGACTCTATAAATAAAGACTAAATACTGGGATTCCTGAACTTAACAATCATATTCATAAGTGAAATTTTGGAGAGTCCAACCATTTGGGAAGCAGTGAGTTTCCTCTAGTCCATGTGTCAGTTGCCAGTAAGCATCTCACATATAATAAAGTGTACTTTTTAGAAAATTTGAAAAGAGATGAATGAATTCCATTATCACTAATTTGCTTCCATTTTGCTTAGAAGAAAACAGAACCCAACCTGGTGAGTTCCATCAACGATCACAGTTATTCCCTCTGGTGCTGAAGAAGTAAGAATCAGCAGTCACAAGCTCATGTGATGAAAGCCAGTGCAGGTGGAGGTTAGGTGGAGTTTGGTCTCTGAGGTTCCATTTCTTTTCCTTCAGGGAACAATTCCCGTTAACATCCCCAAGTACTAGGTGGTCTTCGTATCATGTTAAGATCTGAGAAGCACTTCGTAAAAATTGCCACTGAAGATAACTTGAAAAGTCCCTAAAATCTGGGGGGAGTGAGAGACAAGTGGCCATTCCCCAAATAGTGGTTCTCAACCCTGACAGCAAAGTAGAATCAGCGGAGGAGAGCTAGAACACAAAGGCTCTCAGGGGGTGGCGTCCACAGACAGGTGCGCCTTGTTGTGTTGAGTTTGGCTCTATTGCACTTCACAGACATTACATTTTTACAAATTGAGGGCAAGACCTCCCCCCAGAAAGAAAGATTATGATGTGCTTTATTGAGATACTCACTGTATCGTCGTGGTCTGGAACCAAACTGGCTGTATCTCTGAGGTATGCCCGTGTTGCTATTTCATAAAAGCGATTCTGATGCACTGTGAGGACTGAGGGCCACGAGGGCAGGGATTGGCAACTGAAAGCCCGTGGACCACATCAGGCCCGACCCTTGTTTGCGTTAAATCTGATTAGAACACAGCCGTGCTCACCTGTGCCTGGGGCTGCTCACGGGACACAGCAGCGGAGTTGAATATTTGTGACACACACGGTACAGCCCAGGAAGCCTAAAATATTTACCATTGGCCTTTTCAGGAAAATTTGGTAAACCCCCAATCTAGAGAAATTTCTCCTTTCCTTTCCTTTTGTTTCCTTTAATGTCACTGGTTCCATCAAGATGTTGATTGTAGCCATTTCTAAAAAGAAAAAGAAGAAAAGCTGTTTTCTGATCTTACGTAAACCCACAAAATTAATATTAAGAAATTGGATTTGACTGAAGATAAAATGTATCTCTACAGTTTATGCTATTTATTTCAATAAAATATATTAAGCACCTACAAAACAGTATTTTATAACTTTTTCTATTGTCTTATCAATCTGAGGGTATAGAATACCAAAGAACAGGGCTTATATTACCAAATTTTAATTTTGTCTACAGTTCAGTTATTGAACCACAGAAATGCATGTTAATGAATTTAACATTTATTCATTGAAGACATTTCACTTAAGACAATATAAAAACATCAGAAGAAAATATTGTGAAAGAGAAAATCTAAACAGTATTTTTAGTACACACTTACACTGATGAATTTCCAAATCCCCTATAACTGTTCTGTATTTGAATTGAAATTTCAGGGTATATTATTTACATATTTGAGAAGTCAATGGATATTTAAGTCATAGTTTCAAGCAACTGTTTACTTTTTTAAGTTCTTAATTTGAAATATTATACCCAACTTTTGATTTTAGTGGTACTACTGCATCCTATGCAAGGTGTTTTATTGTAGAAAAGACACGGAGGGAATTGGGTGAACTGCCTTCTGTGTGGACAGCAGAGCTTTCAGCCTTGGGAGGATGAAGCCCTAACGGGGTCGGGAGGGTGGGGGTCGGCAGCAAGCTGCCCTCTCGTGGCCCAGTGGGCGGGAATCCGAATGAGTGGAGTCCAGGGGCATCTAGACCCACAGCGTGAGGTTTGAAGAATGCCAATGTTCTAGCGTGTAGACAGGTGTTCTCAGGGGGAATGGGGAGAAGGTCCAAACAGGTGGGCAGCCCGAAGTCAGGTCTTGGGTGTTCGGGTCCTAGTCCTCCCAGTCGATGGTGATCGGGCCGCCTGTCAGCATCTGGCTCTGCATAGTAGCTGTGCTCCCTCCTTCTGCCTCGCGACGCACTCGCCGGTGGCAGCCCTGGGCACAGCGTGACCGTTCCTCCAGCATTCCACAGACAAGGACCCGGCAGTGCAGAAACACTTCCTGCAAGGACCATAATTGTAATTAACAAAAAATTACAACAGCTATCGCTTGTGGGGCACTCTCTAGAAGCCAGACACGGCCACATGTTTCATGTAGATTTATCTCATTTCATCTAAACAACAACCTTTGAGGTAGATGTTATCATCTCCATTTTAGAGATGAGAAAACAGACAGTAGAGAGATGAGAGAACTTGCCCAAACCCACACATTAGTGAGGTGGCAAACACATGGAGTCCCATGGATAATTGAAAAATCCCACGTCCATAAATTATGTGCAGGGCCAGGAGAGACCTCTGAGAAGCCAACATCTACTGATGTGAACACCTTCGCTCTTCACATGGGGATGAGGAATAACATTGGCTCCCATGCACTTCTGTGGAAAAGAAGTTCTTTCTCCGAGCTTCTTCCTATAAGTAACTTCCCAAAGCATGTTGCCTCGTTGAGGAGGGAGAGCAGGATTAGCCATCACAGTTGGCACTTGTTCTGCAGCAGTGATGCAGCTGCAAAGGATGTCAGTGCACTTAAATGCAGTGTGGAAAACACTGTTGGTTTCTTAAATTTGTGCTGAAATGTTTCAACAACAATGTTGAAAAAAAACCTTCCAGCTTACCCTCCCATATAAAACTGCTTATAACCCGTATATCCATGTGTGCACATTTAAAAAGTAGCATATTCCATACGTAGGTAAATTGTTATGACAAGTTTTTTCATATCTCCTTTTTCTGTATTTCCATATTTCTATACCATTTTAATAACTACTTAATACTGCACTAACTGATATGGCTGCCCTATCTGGGGTTTTTTTTTTCACTCCCCTTAAACGGCACTATAAACACAGACCATGAGTCTTGTTTTTCTTCTTTTGCTTGCTTGTTTTTGAGAATTAGAATTTTGAGAAAAAATAATATGGTGATTTTATGGTTATTATACATATTATTAGACAACTTTCCAGACAGTATACCAATTTATATAGCCAATGTATAAATGTACAATGTAATTTTGCAAGTGTTTTGATTCATAATTTTTATAAATGAATATGCATAAATGTATCACAATTGTTTTAATTGGCATTTTAAGTATTATTTTCACTGAGTATTTCAATATTTATTTTTTCTGTGAGTTTTCTGGCCATATTCTTTGCCATGTGGTCACTACACAGGCTTTTTCAGCCATTTCTGCTACAAGGGTTTGAAATTGGGATCATATAGTACTTTCTTCAAACAAGCAGTTATTTTATTGGGAGGGGCAGATAGTTACAACATTCATGAAAGTGTTAAGCTTCTAGATGGCCAGTTTTACAATATTTTTTCCAGAGGTGATGCAGATTGTAACTGTGGACTCGTAGAATGCCAACATGTTGGACACTGGGAAGGAAGGCTCAGGTGGCTGGGGCAGGGGCTCAGCTTACCTTGTGGTCTTTGCCCACAAACTTGAAGACAGGAACCTGGAAGTGCTTTGTGAGGTGGTCCCGTGACGTGTACTGCTTTACTGAGTCATCTGAAACACAGCTAAAGTAGGACAGGAGAGCACGTAAGGCTTGATTGTTCGAGCAGAGGTGGAAAAACAGTCCAGGCCAACGTGCTTGGTCCAAGCAGAGGGAAACTGGGTGGAGGAGGCTGGGCTGCACCCAAGCTTTTTGAGAATGAAGGAAAAATGAAATCCCTTTCCGACCCAGCCCTGCTCATGGGCACTGTCCGTCCCAGCTGTCGGTCACTGTCCCCACAAACTGCACACGAGGACCTCCAGCTAAGTCAATGTATGGAAGCATTAGCAGCAACAGCGACATTTATTTCAAAGATAACTTTTGACATAAAGGTCTCTTTGTAAGGCTGTATTTTAATTTGCAATATATTGCAGGAATTCTGCATTCTCGTACTTTATTATTGGTTTGAAAAGGCTTTTGTTTAACTGGAGATCATAAATATTTATGGATACTTGATACATAGTTACCCCTGAAGGGGATTCAAGGGCGAGCAAACCCCAATTCAGAGAGCTGCATGAAGATCCAAGTTTCTTAGAGAATAAATAACTGGTTCTATTGGGGAAAAGTCATTCAGCTCCAAATTGTTTTCATCCCTCTTTTCCCAAATTTAATACTAAACTGTAGCTTGACAGGGTTTGGGGTTTTAATCTCAGGTCTACAGGGTTAGTTGGGGGAAAAGAAGTATTACAGATTTTCCAGTTTGAGGCCATGGTTTAGTATTTATGAAACTTTTCTCCTTAAAGGTTAAAGGCCAAGGATCACACTGTGTCATCTTTTTGCCCTGAATTCTAAATGGAGTTTTTTCTAAGCATTTTTCTTTTTATGGGTACCTAATAGTTTCTGTCCACCAGGCCAGGGAAAAAGGATCAGCTAGAAAGCCTGTGAAACTCGATACTTCCTTCCTGTGCTAACGGACCACTTTCTAGTTCTTTAACTTGCTCTTTCAGTGCAGTTGAAAACTCCAACAAAATTGTTTAAAAGTAAGATGTCTTGACTGTATTATTATTATCTTACTCCGCTGAACTGAAGAGGATGTAAACATAGGTGGTTTACATCCACCTATGTAATGTGGTTCCTGTTATTTCTTGCATTTATGTATTTATTTTCACTTTCCTTACGTAAAATTAATTTTTGCCACCTTCCAGTCACGTGCTGTGATAAATCCTGTCGCGCATCTAATCTGTGCAGCACGGCGCGCAGGGCGCTGCAGAGCGCAGGCGGATGAACAATATGGTCTATGAAATCAAGGAGCGTGCATTCCAATGTTTATAACAACACTGGTAATGCAATGTCAAATGGCAGTTTTGTCTAAGTGTCTCAGCATTTTAAATTTATCTAAAGATACTAAGGGGTGGGGCACTTGGAAGAAAAAAATAAAAGAAAAAGAACCAAGACGTGCTTACAGAGTATAATACACACCAGACTTCAAAGACTTAGCAGGAAATGTAAAATATCTCACTAGTAATTTTTTATTAACTAGATGTTAGAATGATAATATTTTGGAGAAATTGGGTTAAATAAAATATTTTATCAAATTTAAATGCCATTATTCTTCTTTAAAAGAAAAAGTGAAGCAGAAAGCGCTGTTCCTAGGCAACACGTTCCAGAATAGAATGCAGGGCAAACTCTGGACCTTGGGTTGGTGTTTGCTGTGGTTAAACAATTTAGTTCTGACAACTTCAAGTTCGTGTGCTACCAGAAAGGAATGATGATAGATGATATTCCAAAGAAATTGATTATACAAAAGTTGCCCAGTATTTGATTTTGGATTTCAATATGTTTCTTTTTCTGGAGATTAAGTTTCTAATTCCACTTTGCCTTGGCTGGTATGAAATTATTTTGCATTCTCATAGCATGTGTCAACTAGTGCTAGAGGGCGGTGACTCAGATGTGTTAACTATCAAGGGAAACCAGCTTCATTTACATTTAAGCTGAGGACAGTAAATCATCAAACAATTTACAGATGTAAGTGAACTGCATTATGTTTACTCAAGGCTCTGCATCATTATGCTAAATGCTCCGTAAAATTCATCAGGCAAATATTCAGTGATGGTCACTCTGGGCTCAGCATTGAGAAGGGAGGAGAAGGAAGGTTTCTTGTTCAGGTTGGGAGGAATCAGGGAAGACTTCATGAAGGAAATAAACCTCACTGAATCTTGAAGGACCAGTAAAAATCGCACATAAAGAAAAGGGCAAGATTTCAGGCAGAGGAAACAGCAGGTGCAGAGCCAGGAGGGTATGAGTGACAACAGAGTTTGGGACTTGCTCATCGTTCCCTCTGACAGGAGCGGGAACTGGAGGACATAGGAATCAGAGGGCCAGGCGCAGTGAGCCAGGGTGAGAGCTGGATTTTTATCTTGAGGGATTACTTCACATGCACCATTACTGTAGTGCCCACGACTGTCCCAGAGATGGGACTATTTGCCTGTATTAAATAGGCCAACACAGCTGTGTTTTTGAGTTCTTGTCTCTACTTTTTAAGCATTATAATTTATTCCACAGTTTTTTATTTTCTGCTTTGTATGTGCTGAGGGCTGGCTGGGAAATGAAATAGTATACCTTCTTAGAACTGTCTAAAAAAATGTCCCAAGGGTCTGAATAATAAATATACAAACAAACTTCACAAGTTTTATTGAAATTGTAGATTACATGATTCCCTGGTGAGTTATGATTATACATTTATTTTTGCAAAAGCAAATTTGAGTGGCAAAAAAAAACTCTCAATGTTAGAGAAATGTTCATTTTGATGGTAGTGATAGTTTCACAAGTGTATACATCATAACTTACCAAACTGTACACTTTAAATAGTACATTTATTGTATGTCAATAGTACACCAATAAGGCTGCATAAAACAATTAAAAAGGAACCAAAATGTACTCTCCCCCTAAAAGTAAATCAGTTCTCTAATCTACTTAGCATTAAGTATATATCTAAAAAATAAGTAAATTAAATATGATGCTTCTACTTTTTCTTTTAAAACTTTCCGGAGATTACTTAAGAGGGAAATAAATCCAAAGGACTATAGATCCTTGTGAGACCTATTACTTGCCATCCAAACCAGCTCAGAATGACACATTTTCCATATTCTAAAAACATGCTCAGGAGACTGACTATAGGAATCTGAGGCTAGAAGGATTCCTACTGGTAAACAGTTACATTTATCAATCAAAGGAAATCAAGAGCCATTAAAAAGTTTTCAGGCTTCTGGTCAAGATGGAGGTGTAGGTAAACACAGCTTGCCTCCTTGCACAACCACAGCAAAAATTACAACTAAACTATAAAACAACTATCACCCAGAATCATCAGATAATCGAGCTGTATGGAAGTTCAACAATCAAGGAATTAAGAAAGCCACATTTATTCAGATGGGTAGGAGGGGCAGAGACGTGGAATAGGCAGTCCCACTCCCATGTGTGGTGGATAAAAATCAGGAGGGATACCTTAGGGGCAAGGAATTCCAGCCCCACACCAGACCACCCAGCCCAGGGTTCCAGTGCCAGGAAGGTAATTCCCCATAACTTCTGGCTGTGAAAACTGTGGGAGTTGGGGTGGTAGAAGAAACTGTGGGATTTTCAGGTGTCTCCCCTTACAGAGCCCACAACAGACTTAGGACCTACACAGACTCACTCCCTCTGGGCTCCAGCACTGGGGCAGTAGCTAGAAGGGCACCAGTGGCATAGGGGGAGAAACTAAAGTGTCTGGCATCAGGGCAAGTGCTTGGGGGCAACTTCCTCTGGAACAAAATTCCAGAGGCCAGGCAGCAGCCATAGTCCCCCTCTCTGAACCCTCCCCCAACAGAGCCACAGAGCAGCAACACCATATCAGAGGCGCCATCACCCTGGTTCACAAGGGTTGCTCTGCGCTGGCAATTACCTAAGTCTCTGCCCCATGTAACTTACAGGCGCACTTTTCTACAATAGGACACACTATTAATGCAGGTAGTCAAAGCAGCTCTACTAATACATAGAAACAAATACAGGGAGGCTCCCAAAATGAGGAGACAAAGAAATATGGCCCAGATGAAAGAACAGAATAAAACTCCAGAAAAAGAACTAAACAAAATGGAGATAAGCAATCTGTTAAATGCAGAGTTCAAAATACTGGTTATTAGGATGTTCAAGGAACTCACTGGGTATTTCAATAGCATAAAAAAGAACCTGGCAAAAATAAAGGTTATAGTAAGTGAAATAAAGAAAAATTTACAGGGAATAAAGAATGGAGGGGATGAAGCCAAGCATCAAATCAATGATTTAGAACATAAAGAAGAAAAAACTATTCAATCAGAATAGTAAGAAGAAAAAAGAATCCAAAAAACAAAACCAAAGATAGGCTAAGGAGCCTCTGGGACAACTTCATATGTACCAACATTCAAATAATAGGGGTGCCAGAAGGAGAAGAGAAAGAGCAAGAAATTGAAAGCTTATTTAAAAAAATAATGAAAGAAAACATCCCTAACCTAGTGAAGGAAATAGACATACAAGTCCAAGAAGCACAGAGAGTCCTAAACAAGAATCTTAAAAGCAGCAAGAGAAAAGCAGATAGTTACCTACAAAGGAGTGCCCATAAACTGTCAGCTGATTTCTCAAAAGAAACTCTTCAGACTAGAAGGGACTGGCAAGAAGTATTCAAAGTGATGAAAAGCAAGGACCTACAACCAAGATTGCTCTATCCAGCAAAGATACCATTTAGAATCGAAGGGCAGATAAAGTGCTTCCCAGACAAGGTAAAGCTAAAGAAGTTCATCATCACCAAGCCATTATTATATGAAATGTTAAAGGGACTTTTATTTAAGAAAAAGATCAAAACAATGAACATTATAATGGCAATAAATTCACAACTATCAGCAACTGAATCTAAAAAGCAAACGAAGTAAACCAGTAGAACAGGAGCAGAATTGTAGATATGGAGACCATTTGGAGGATTATCAGTTGGGAGAGGGAAGGGGGAGAATGGGGAAAAATGTGCAGGGATTAAGGAGTACAAATTGGTAGGCATAGAATAGACAGGGGGATGTTAAGAACAGTGTAGGAAATGGAGTAGCCAAATAACTTAAATGCAGGCATTTACAATTCAAAATTATTATTTGGAACTATCATATTCAATATTTTAACCTCAAATCTGCTTTTTTACTTAATCCTTTTTGTCTTGATTAATGACATCCAGGCAGCCATCTGAGCGAGACCCCTTGCAATAATTTTTGACCCCCTAGTCCCACACCAGTTTCACCTCCAAAATGTTAATGAATGGTTTCTGAACTAATTAAGAGCTCACAAGAGTGCCACATTGTTTGGGGGAAATTACTGAGTGTACTTGCACACCTAGAGGTCACACATGAACTAGGAGTAATAAACCCTTTAAGCAGCATAATTACCCATCCTGGATGAGGTAGTACTTCAGGATCTCGTCGATCTTGGAAGTGGGGGTGGCAAAACAGCTCTCCACCAGGCTTTCTAAGCCGTTCACATGCACCAAAGGCTCAATTCCAAAGTAGAGGGAGTCTCGAAGCTTGAGGGTGGGCAGAGCTTCCCGGTAAGGCTCTTCAAACTCATTGTCCTTGAAGATCTCCAGAGTGAATGGGAAGATTCCATGACTGCGGCCCATGATTTCCAGGGGGGCGTTTCGGAGGTTGGGCACATATCCCTCAGAGATGGTGTACAGGCGTGGAAACTCGCAGGTCACCGGGATCAGTAGCTTGCTGGTTCGGATGATGATGTCTCCACTGCTTCCTGGTGTCTGCTTGGGTAGACCTGTCACGAGGTTGCTAGCCACGATCTTGTCATTCACCACCTGAGCCAGGCCAGGGTAAAGAGAGGAAAGAGATTTTACATTTGTTTCTACAAAGGTTTCCCCCCGCTCTTCATAAACGTAACAATCTCCAGCCCTCAAAACACGTTAGTGATTTGGTTGCTGAAGCCTGTAGTGTTTTAATATTTATTTACACACTACTTAATGGTCAACCCACACATTCCTTTGGAATATTACTCATAAAACCTGAGCTATGCAGAATTAGCAATTTCAAAGCTCCTATGTTTGAGAAAAGGACAGCTTCTGTATATTATTTTTTCTGTAATCCTAGACCTGGTGATTATGCTGCAGCATGACCTTGTGCTGAACTCATCCACATGCAGAACTTCAGCTGTTACTCTTATGCACGTAATTTCCAATTCATTATGTCCAGACTTGTCTGCTCTCCTGTGTAGCAGAAAGTGACTCATGGGCATTCCCATGTCATTACCCACAGACAAAACAAACACGACTTGCCTAAAGCGTGGTCACCTTCTTCTCAAATAACTGTTCCATGTCTCACCCCAAGTCTAATAGCTCTCTGATTTTGTTTTAGTCAGATTCAATAAATATTTGTTTAATCTAATGATCACATGGGCCTCTGCATTGATCTTCAGGATCTAGGTCCTCTTTTTTCTATCCATCTTGCACACTTCTGATTTCATCATGACAGTGCCTGCTTAACCCCTAATGCCCTGCCCCCCTCACCCCAGCACACAAGACAAATCTCTGGAACTCGTCTAGTTTCCTTTCCAATATGAATTCCTGGCCTGTCAGGCTTCATTGCCCATTCACCTCAGCATAAGCTTAATTGCTCCATCTCTGGGACTCGCTCATTTGTTTCCCGTCTGAAATGCCCCATCTTCTCCTCTCCACCTGTATGAGAGGCAAAGCACACACAGGCTTCCACCCTGACGCAAGTCCTGCTTGTCTGGGCTGCTCCAGTGTCTCCCCCTTTCTGGCTTCCGACAACACCTGTCATCTAGACCACTATGTCTTTCTTATATTTTGTGTGTATTATCATCTCAGTACTACTGTATATGTTCTGAAAAATTGGAAATCTTATCTCATGTGTCCCTGAGACTCCCCAGCACAGAAATGTGCACAGATTCTTGGATGAAGGTATAAAACTTTTACCTCCACCTGGTTCAACACTTGAACTCACTTGTTACCTCATAAATGGACCACCATCTACCTCAGTCACTTTCTTCAAGTAAAACAATACTGGTGCTGATACACTCAGGAAAATGTCTACACACAGGGGAGAGATCGGGCTACATGAGAACAGAAATAGCAGAATTTTTCCTAACTTCCTATCCTCACAGTGCCAGGACCATAGACAGATGCTCAATAATACATTTGTTAAATGAATGACATTTGATGTTTTGAAATCTGTTCTTTCGTATGGGAAGATTTCATCTAGGACACACACAAGCCATACCGCATACCTCTTTCAACTCCCTCCCAAGTAACTGGCTTTTGGTCATTCCCCAAGTGTCCTCCAGGAGGAACCTACATCGACCACTGTGCCGCATGTCTTGAGGGAGAAGACCATGTTGACGTGGGTGCCATTGGACACGCCTCGGCAGGAGGTGTTGGTCAGGAAGAGCTCCAGCCCACCGACCAGGTCCCTGGGGATGCTCACTTCAACGGTGCTGGACTTGCACGACACGGGGACTGTGGCAGAAAGGGGCTGCTGTTAGAACCGAGACGCCTGAATGAGAAGAAGGGCAAGGAAGGCTTCTAGAAGAAACAGTTTCACCAGCATGCAATTTGAGCTTTTTGTTCTAGTCTCCAGGAAATCTATGAGGCTCAAGACAAGCCGATGGATAAAACCAGGACTCCTGACTCCCAAGGCTGTGGTCAAATAATGCTCCTGAAGTAAGTGATTCCTGAATGAGCAAGTATTGTGATCAAGTTTCAATTCAAGAGACATTTATTTCAAAGTGTGGCTCGCATAACTCCGTGAACTGAAACACCCAAAGGATTCACTTTTAGCACAAACACAATTTATTGCCAATACAGAAAAACTACTGCTTCGATACAGGGTTAAATTCGATAATGGCACTGCTTTGGCTTCCCTGTTAATTCCTGCTCCATAAAACAGGTCACAAAAGTGGCATCAATGCACCTGGGGAAGAGTTCCAAATTGTCTTTGCACTGTTCACTAGCCATAAACCCCAACTATAAATTCCACTTTAACTTAATATAAAAAGGTTGCTTTTCCTCAGTGTTCCTGTGTTCCCTTCTTTTAAGACTCTACAAATACCCTGAAGAAAGTATGTATGGGTACTATCAGAAAATACGTGAGGAGAATATCAATATTTGAGGATATGTCATACAAACTGGACAGTGAAAGTAAACCTGGGATAGTTGCTCACTAATCTTTACTGGATGAATGGATTAATGGCCTGGACATAAACAACTATGTTTCCAGAAAATAGTTCTCAGAGGATTGTTAATGCAAGTATTGTAAGTGTAGAGAGAAGAATCCATCCTCTAGTGCTTTCAACTTGGTTTCACGACCCAATAATCTGTTAGAATACAGAAGAACTCCATCGGTGTCTTACACTTCTAAATGAAGTATTAGTTCTCAATTAGTAACAGAAATTAGAGAAAAAAATCAAAGGTAAAAAAGCAAAGGAAACCAAAAGATTCAGCAATCCCATTTTGAGGTATTCATCCAACAGAATTAAAAGAAGAATCTCAAAAAGCTGTTTGCACCATGTTCATAGCAGCACTGTTCACAACAGTCAAGAGGTAGAAGCAACCCCAATGTCCGTCAACAAGTAGCTGAATAAATAAAATGTGGCATATCCATACAATGGAATATTATCCAGCCTTACAAAGGAAGGAAATCCTGTCAGATGCTACTACACGGAGGAAACTTGTGGCCCTAGGCTAAGTGAAATAAGCCAATCACAGAAAGACTAACACTGCACAGCGGGGGGAGGGGAAATGGGAAGTGGTTTCATGGGTATAGATGCTCAGTTTTGTGCAGCGGAAAAGTTCTGGAGGTCTGTTACCCAACAATATAAATATACTCCACACTACTGAACTACACACTTGAAATTAATTTAGATACATTTTATGTAGTTTAGTGGATTAGTTTAGTAGATTTTATGTTATATATTTTTTATCACAATTTTCAAAACAGCAAAGCAAAGTCAGTTTTTTGGTAATCTTTTCTCAGGAATCTTCTCCTTTGAAGGTTCCAGAATGAAGAGGCAGGGATGCATGCCTCGGAAAGAGTAGGAGTTTTCAAAGCTGAGAATCTTGATACTTCTGGATGAGAAAGGTAGGGAGTCGGGGGTAGGGGGAGAAGTGTGAATCAGAGCAGAGGTCACGCCCGTGCAGGTACTACCTTGGCAGGTGTGGTTATCCTCAGATAGCACCAGGCCCCGGGGGCATTCACACTGATAGCCCCTCTCAGACACCAGGCAAGAATGGCTGCAGCCGCCATTGTTGTTGTGGCACCCTTCAATGTCTGTAACAGAGACCGCAAGAAAAGGGAATGGTTTTTGAGGTGACACTTTGCATCTGTGCTTATACTTAGCCCATCACAGTGTCACTGGGGCCTAATAGTCACTGAGACATATGGGAAAGCCCACAAAATATGTTTATTAAATGTTATAGCTACAAAGATCAATCTTACAATATCCACAGGTCTAGACACCTAAGCTGGTCATTTTGTAAAATACCCTTGAATCTGGATTTGTTTTTCTCTCTGTTTTGGGGAAAGAAGACCCAAGTAGCCATGCCTATTCATTTACCTACTATTACTTATATGGACACCTTCTCACTATAAGGGCAGAGTCGAGTAGCTTCAACAGACTCTGTATGGTCCACAAAACCCCAGATATTTACTATTTGGCCTATACAGACAAATTTTGCTGACTCCTGTGCTAGCGGTAAGATAACAGAAGGGAGTGCTTTCAATCATCCAAGACACTCAAGAAAAGGTATCAGCTGGTTTCCAGTTATAGCTATAACTCACTTCAATAATAGTAAAATAATTAGTTCTTTGGCACATCAGTAAATTAACTTAGGATGAATTAATTTTTGTGAATAATTTTCAATGAGTTAATATGTTTAAACTTAAGAGAGATTAAGCTATCACCTGTTTATAAATCTGTGTAATTAAATAGGATCAAAGTACTCCTATGGGTTTTTGAAATAGCTGAAAATATATATAACAATGTAGAAGGAAGCACAAAAATATGCTATAAGATGTTAAAATCAACATTAATAGAAATTTTTTTCTTAAAAATGATCTTCCAAGCCCTGGCTGGCATAGCTCAGTGGATTGAGCGTGGGCTGCGAACCAAAGCATCGCAGGTTCGATTCCCAGTCAGGGCACATGCCTGGGTTGCAGGCCACAGCCCCCAGCAACCGCACACTGATGTTCCCTTCCTTCTCTAAAAATAAATAAATAAAATCTTAAAAAGTCTTTAAAAATAATAATCCATAAGTCCATCCCATAATTTTAAAAAAATGATCTTCCTTGCTCTGGCTGGTGTGGCTCAGTGGATTGAGCACTGGCCTTCAAACCAAAGGATCACTGGTTCAATTCTCAGTCAGGGCACATGCCTGGGTTACAGGCCAGGTCCCCAGTAGGGGGCATGCAAGAGGCAACCACACCTTGATGTTTCTCCCCCTCTCTTTCTCCCTCTCTTCCCCTCTCTCTAAAAATAAATAAATAAAATATATTTAAAAAAAATGATCTTCTTTTAGTCATTTAATTTCTCTGAGTCTCGGTTTCAGTATTTATAAAACAAAGGGTTGGACATGTTCATTCAGGTCTAAAACTGCAAAGCACAAAATAAATTCAAATTTTAAGTTGCTTTGAAGGATTTAAGTCTCTTACAAGAATGCATCAAAATGTTTAGAATAAATATATCTGGCAAGTGTGACTGAGGGTCATTTTAGTTATGTCTTTTATTCCTCTATGATCTATAAACTTTAAACACAAAACAATAATATTACTTAAAAATTAAAAAGTGCCTTTTATTTTTAAAAAGATGCAATTATCTAACAGACTAGCTAAAGAAACAAATGTTTGAATTATCAATACAATTTACAGATTACAAATATGAATCTTATTCATAAAGTATAACTCGTATACTAATTTTATCTCCTGCTAAAATATTTTTCAGTTATGGTTATTAGGTTTGAAAATTTAATGAGCATTAACTGTAATATTTCCAATAAAATTCTCATGAATATTTACCAAAGTTCCTTGTGCAGCATCTCATTAATATTCAAATATGCAAAGATCATTGCATAAAATAATTAAGATTTAAGGAGAATTCAGGACATTACTATTATTCAATAAAACTTAAAGTAGTTTAACATTCTGGTTAATTTTGTTAATAATGCAAACTTTGTTCTATGGAATAAATTGTGGGAGCCAGCCATAATTTTCCCTTTTGGGGTAGGATCTTGTTATTTTGAGTATAACTAGAATAAAGTAGACTCTTGTAAGCAATATTACAACTCTATTTTGCCACACATTCGATTATTCTGTGGGACAATCACATGTCTTTAATAATAATAATAATAATAAAGCCATTTATATCTTCATATAATCTGCCACCAGTTGGGTTTTTATGCTCTCAATTCTGAATATCATGAGATTCAGACTAAAGCAGAAGTGTTCAAATTTTAGTTGCGATAATTTGCAAGGGCAAAATGTGCCTTAGAGAAGGGTATAATCTAAGTTTCATATATAATAGTAAACAATTTCCATTTCAATTACTTAACATACATCACAAATTCTATTTTATTACTTAGTCATATAAAATATATAAAGCAATTTCACTATTAGAAATAGTTTTACTCATCTCCAAACAGTGTATTAATTTTCAATAAATGCAAAGCATACGGGGGGTGGGGGATAGCTTCATGTAAACCAATTTCCCAAACTGGTAGAAACACGCATCCCACCCACTGAACCAGTCTCCAGGAGAGAGACCTGGGAAGGGCGAGCTGTGGAAGCACCCAGATGGTTCTACTCGGCAGGGAAGTTTGAGAGAAACTGCTGCAAACCATCTGCTGTCTCCTGCCCGTGTTACCTTGCTACTGCAGGTGTGCTCCTTGGAGTCAAAGCATAGGTGTCACCTTGAAGTTAGTTACTTAGAAAATGCAACATGTTAGCCTGACCCCAGACATACCAAATTGGAGTCTGCATTCGAACAAGAGCCTGGGGGATTCATGGGCACATCAGACTTTGAGAAACACAGGATACCTATTTTAATTTTCCAAGTTAAAAAGGTGGCTCTTTACCTCTTACTAAGTGCCACTCCCTCCTGTGAACTCTTGGAGACAAGATTAACAGTGAATTCTATCTGCAAGCACCCTCAACGATGATGAACCCCTTCTGTCACTTCCTTACACAGCCAAACTGTTACTCCCACCTAACAGTGGGCAGTTTCAAGATCATCAAAGAATAAGCCCATGGCCTTGATCTGGGCTCCTGATGTGAATCCCTTCTTACCATTCTCACCTTCACAAGTCCTGCCATCACTTCTTAACACACGGCCAACCCCGCACTCACAGCGAAATGAGTTTTTGAGGTTTACACAGATCTCACTACAGCCGCCATTGTTTTGTTCACATTCGTTCACGTCTGTAGAAAAGAAACGCCATTTACATCCTGCTGAGCAACTCGATCTTCTTACCCCCTTAGCAGAATCCCCACATCTTTTCACATCACACTTTCCACCCAGCTTCCTCTCCGAGATCCAGTATAATCAATCACTTCTATCAACCTGAGCTCCTCAGCCAAGTTATTTTTTGTCTGCCCTTTGCTGGAGCGGAGTGCACCCACTTTACCAATTCCCTCCTAAGGCCAAAACTGTGGGGGAAATAAAGTTCCTTTTTTTTTTAACCTGGGTTCACCTATTTATTTGCATTGGTGAATTTCACTTTCTCCAATGAGGTCCTGACAATTTTCTAAATAAATACAAACTTATAAACCAAACTGCGTTTTAAATGCATTAAATGAACTCACATTGCAGAAGAAAATATCTGCATCTTCTGAGTTCATTTAATGCATTTAAAAAATCTTAAGTAAGTTCAAGACAAAATTTTTGAGGCAGTCTTATGCCACATGTGAACAACTGCCCTCAAAATCTCTTTTAAATATTAGAATATTCCCACTTTGTACTTAAACAATAATGGTTAAGTCATTTTAACAATCTGATGGAAGATAGGGACTCTTGCCTTAAAAAAAAAAAAGCACAATTGGCAACAAATGTTGACCCCCTTCCTTCCACCAACAAAAGGAAGCTTGTGAGCTAAATTTGTCATGGCTTGGATGTAGGACTGAAGCCAGGGACTGGGGTTGAAGCAACCACAAGACGACAGGAAGCATGGCCTCGGGTCCAGGAGGGGAGACGGCTGGAACTAAAACCATGTCCAGGACCCTGGCAAAGGTGCCCCACAATGAAACGGGGCACAAGATCTTTGCTCCGAAGCTTAGGGAAGCAGTCAGGCGGCTCTCTGCCTGAGGTTCTAGGAGAGGAAATGCTGGCCCTCTCACGGTTGAGGTATTAACTTACACACTTTGCACAGGGCGTGGGGATACTGAAGCTGAGAAACTGATGTAAAACTTGGCCTGCACTGGTGAAACCTCTGTGATGCCTGACAGAAGCATCTGAAGCTGGCTGTAAAGCTTCCATAAACCAGGTAATAAGATTGGAGGCCACCCACCCCAATAAAACAATTACATCTGAAGATGGTTCACCATAAAACATTAAAAATGAGGAAATGATCTCCTACAAGAGGGAGCTGTCAAGATAACAAACAGGAGGCTTTGAACTGGAGATAAACAGAATAATCTAGAAAAATCCATAACACAAGGCTTTTTAAAAATTACCATAAAGATAAAAAAAAGCCTCATAACCAAAATAAGGGTGTAGAAGGACGAAACAGAGTTGGAAACAAGTATGTAGAACTGAAAAATAATATAGTCAATAAGATTAGAATCTTCAGTGGATGGTAAGAGGGGCTGGCAGCCACCCTGGGTGTGGCCACACCAGGCTTGGGGCCAGGCCTCTGTGTTAAGCCTGGACTGCTTCCCTTGAGACTGATATTTTTTTATGTGGAGAGAAATAAGCTTCTACTTACTTAAGTCATTGTTATTTGGGGTCTATTGTTATTTACAGCCTGACTTAGATACTATACCCCAGCAATTCCACTTTTATAGGTGCATTCTATAGAAAATTTCCCACATGGGGTAAGGTATAATTTTTATGTTAATGCTAAGAACACACAAAACAGTGTGTATTATCATAAGGTACATATATAAGTAATTAAAGCATAAAAACAGGGATCAGAAGAAAATGCACTAACTTTGAAACAGTGATTCCCCCTGGAGGATGTGAGAGGAAAATGAGATGGAGTGAGATGACCTGACTTGTACTTGCAAAATTTTATTTTCAAAAAGAAAGAAAAATTTAACTATAGTCAAATCTGTGTATATGTGAGTCTGTTATATTTTTCTATACTTTTCTTTCTGCCTAAAAAAACTACACAATTTAAAATAAATTGTTAAAATTATATTACTTTTTTTTAAAACTAGGGGTATATTGACACATGCATTCAAACTTAAAACTTGCCTCTAATTTTAGAGAATTTATGATCTCCCTGAAACTGATAGACCACAGTTAGGAACTGGGACTTTTCCCTGTGTACTGATAGGCAAAGATGTCCAAAATAAATTGTTAAGCAAGAGACATGGATGATGTGTATGATATTCAACCTTTGCTGTGAAAAGAGGGGGGCAATAAATAAACATACATATATTTGGATTTTTACATCTCTCTGAAGAAAGCCTGGAAACATACATGAGTAAACAATATAAGAGACATCAGGGCAAGATGGAGGCACAGGTAAACACGCCTTGCCTCTGCGCACAGCTACAGCAAAAAAATACAGCTGTTCTACAACATAAATATCACCCAGAACCATCAGAAAATTAAGCAGTGTGGAAGTCCAACAACCAAGGATTTAAAGGAGCCACATTCATCCAGATGGGTAGGAAGGGCAGAGATGTGAAGAGGCGTGGAGATGGGAATGGCAGTCCCACATCCATATGTGGTGGGTTAAAAATGGGAAGAATACCTCAGGAGTGAGGGGTCCCAGCCCCAGTCCAGTCCACCCAGCCCAGGGTCCCAGTGCCAGGAAGATAACCCTCAGTACTTCTTGCTGTAAAAACCAGTGGGTGTTGGGGCGGTGGAAGAAACTGCATCCTCATAAAGGGCCTGCAATGGACTTAGCAACTCACCCCATCTTGGATTCACCACCAGGGTAACAGCTGGAAGGGGACCAGTGGCATACAAAGAAAAAATGAAGTGTGAACACCAGGAGACAGCTCCCTCTGGGGAAAACTCCAGAGGCTAGGCAGTAGGCATTGTCCTCTCTGTGAGCCCACTCCCAAACAGAGCAGTGGCACGGGTTGCCCTGCCCTGGTGATTACCTAAGTCTCTGCCCCATACAACTAACTGGTGTGCTAGGACAAAGAGTCAAATCAGCTCTACCTGATATACAGAAACAAACACAGGGAAGCTCCCAAAATGAGGGGACAAAGAAATATGGCCCAAATGAAAGAACAGAACAAAACTCCCAAAAAAGTTCTAAGCAAAATGGAGATAAGCAACCTATCAGATGCACAGTTCAAAACACTAGTTATCAGGATGCTCCAGGAACTCATTGGGCACTTTAATGCTATAAAAAAGACCAGGCAGAAATGAAGGTTGTATTAAGTGAAATAAAGAAAAATCTACAGGGAACCAACAGTGGAGAGGATGAAGCCGAGAATCAAATCAATGATTTGAAACACAAGAAAGGAAAAATTATTCAATCAGACAGCGAGAAGAAAAAATAACTAAAAAAAAAATGAGGAAAGGCTTAGGAACCTCGGGACATCTTTAAACACACCAACATCTGAAGAGGAAGAGCAAGAAATTGAAAACTTATTTCAAAAAACAATGAAAGAAAACTTCCCTAATTTGATGAAGAAAATATGCATACAAATCTAGGAAGTATAGGGAGTCCCAAACAAGATGGACCCAAAGAAGACCACACTAAGACACATCATAATTAAAATGCCAAAGGTTAAAGATAAGAGATAACCTTAAAAGAAGCAGGAGAAAAGCAGAGAGTTACCTACAAAGGAGTTCCCATAAGACTGTCAGCTGATTATTTAAAAGAAACTTTGCAGGCTAGAAGGGACTGACAAAAAATATTCAAAGTGGTGCAAAACAAGGACCTAGATTACTCTATCCAGCAAAGCCATCATTTAGAATTGAAGTGCAGATGAATTGCTTCTCAGACAAGGTAAAGCTGAAGGAGTCCATCATCATCAAGTCATTATTACATGAAATGCTACTAAAGGGAATTACATAAGAAAGAGAAAAGATCAAAACAATGAACATTAATGAACATTAAATGGCAATAAATTCACAACTATCAATAATTGAACCCAAATAACAAACTAAGCAAAAAAATAGAACAGGAACAGAATTATAGCTGTGGAGATCATTTGGAGGGTTATCAGCTGGTAGGAGGAAGGAGGAAAATGGGGGGAAAGGTGCAGGGATTAAGAAGCACAAATTGGATTTCTGGCCAAAATGGAGGTATAGGTAGATACACTTTGCCTCCTTGCACAACCAAAAGAAGGACAAGAACAAATTTAAAAACAAAAATAACCAGAATTGCCAGAAAATAAAACTGTATGGAAGTCTGACAACCAAGGAGTTAAAGAAAAAACATTCATCCAGACCAGCAGGAGAGACAGAGATGGGCATACAGTGCAAAGAGAACTTGTGGCAAGCTGGCCCCTGGTGGAGCTGGTGGTCCCACATTTGCCTGCAGATAAACCAGGAGGAACAACTGGGGAGCGAGACAGACTATGCAATCCAGGGTTCCAGCATCAGGAAATGAAGCCTCAAACCTCTGACTGAAAATACCTGTGGGGGTTGAGGCAGAAGGAGAAACTCTCTGCCTCACAGGAGAGTTTGTTGGAGAGATCCACAGGGTCCTAGAATGTACACACAACCCACCCACATGGGAATCAGCACCAGAAGGGCCCAATTTGCTTGTGGGTGGCTGAGGAAATGACTGAAAACAGTTGAGAACCCAGCAGGTGGCATAGTTCCCTCTCGGACCCCTCTCCTATGTATAGCACCACAATGGAGAGACGAGGGTTGTTCCGCCCTGGCAAATACCTAAGCCTCTGCCCCTTACTACGTAACCAGCATGCCAAGCCAAAAAAAAAAAAGGCCCAAATACTTTTATTTGGGCCTTTATTTCAACAGATCAGAACTCCAGAAAAAATACAACTAAATGATGAAGAGTTAGCCAATCAATCAGATGCCCAGTTCAAAACACTGGTAATCAGGATGCTCACAGAAATGGTTGAGTATGGTTGAAAAATAGAGGAAGAAATGAAGGCTATTAAAAGTTAAATAAAGGGAACCAACAGTGAAGGGAAGGAAACGGGGACTCAAATCAATGGTTTGGAGCAGAAGGAAGAAAGTAACATTCAAGCAGAACAGAATGAAGAAACAAGAATTCAAAAAAATGAAGAGAGGCTTAGGAACCTCCAGGACAACTTTAAACATTCCAACATCCGAATCATAGGGGTGCCAGAAGGAGAAAAGAAAGAGCAAGAAATTGAAAACTTATTTGAACAAATAATGAAGGAGTGCTTCCCTAATCTGGCAAAGGAAACGGACTTCCAGGAAGTCCAGGAAGCTCAGAGAGAACTAAAGAAGATGGACCCAAGGAAGCACACACCAAGGCTCATCATAATTACATTACCTCCAAGATTAAAGATAAGGAGAAAATCTTAAAAACAGCAAGAGAAAAGGAGAGAATTACCTACAAAGGAGTTCCCATAAGACTGTCAGCTGATTTCTCAAAAGAAATCTTGTAGGCAAGAAGGGGCTGGAAAGAAGTATTCCAAGTCATGAAAGGCAAGGACCTACATCCAAAATTACTCTATCCAGCAAAGCTTTCATTTACAATGGAAGGGCAGATAAAGCACATCTCAGATAAGGTCAAGTTAAAGGAGTTCATCATCACCAAGCCCTTATTTTATGAACTGTCCAAGGGACTTATCTAAGAAAAAGAAGAAGATTAAAACAAAACAAAACAAAACACACACACACAGTAAAATGGCAACAAACTCACAACTACCAACAACCTAACCTAAGAAAACAAAAACAAAAATGAACTATGCAAACAACTATAACAGGAACAGAATCACAGAAATGGAGATCACATGGAGGATTATCAGTGGGGAAGGAGTGAGAGGGGGAAAAGGTACAGGGAATAAGAAGCATAAATGGTAGGTACAACATAGACAGGGGGAGGTTAAGAATAGTATGGGAAATGGAGAAACCGAAGAACTTGTATGTACAACCCCTGGGCATGAACTAAGGTGGGGGAATGCTGGTGGGTTGGGGGTTACAAGGAGGAGGAAAATAAAGGGAGAAAAAAATGGGACAACTGTAGTAGCATAATCAATAAAATATATATTTTAAAAAAAGAAGCACAAATTGTTAGCTACTAAATAGACAGTTAAGAACATTATAGGTAATGAAGTAGCCAAAGAACTTATATGCAAGACCTATGAGCATAACTAAGGGGGGCATTGCTGGTAGGAATGGGGATATCATCAGGTGGAGTGGGACAAAGGGGGAAAATTGGGTCAACTGTAATAGCATAATCAATAATATATATTTTTTCTAAATATTTTATTTATTTATTTTTAGAGAGAAGGGAAAGGAGGGAGGATGAGAGGGAGAAAAACATCAAGGTGTGGTTGCCTCTTGTAGGCCCCAACTGGGGACCTGGCCCTCAACCCAGGCATGTGCCCTGACTGGGAATTGAACCTACTACTCTTTGGTTTACAGGCTGGCACTTAATCCACTGAGCCACACCAACCAGGGCAATGAAATATATATTTTTAAAAAGAAAATAATGCAAGATTTTACTTTGAATAGGGTGGATAGGAAATGGAACAAATGGGAGAGCTAGACATTTCACTGTATACCTCTCATGCTGTTGAATTTAGGTACTATTTAAATGTATAATGTATTCAAAGTTGTGTTAAAATAAAGGCAAAGAAATAAATGAATCAGATTAATTGTGGTGATCACATTGTAGGGTATATAAATGTCAAATCACTATGTTGTACATATGAAACTAATGTAATATTATATGCCAATTATACTTAAAAAACATAAAGAAGAGAAGTAAATGAACAAGTCTTGCCTTAAAATAAAGCCAAGCTCTGACCAGTGTGGCTCAGTTGGTTGGAGTATTGTCCCATAACTGAAAGGTTCAGGTTCAATTCCCGGTCAGGGCACATACCTAGGTTGTAGGGTTTAGTGCGCTGCCCAGGTGCGTGAGATTCCCCGGTCTGGGAACCTCCCTGGTCTGCGCCTACGATCACCAGTCCTCCCATGCAGGGGAGGCAAACAATCAATGCTTCTCTCTAATGACAGTGTTTCTCACTCTCCCTCCTCTCTCTTAAAAATGCAATGAAAAAATGTCCCTGTGTGAGGATTTTTTTTTATTTAATTAAGAAAAAATAAAGCCAAATATTTTCCAACAAACGAGTGTCTAAGTGTGAGCTGTGAGAGGGGGAGAGGAGACGACAGGAGCCGTTGTGTCCTGTGCCCCAAACTTTTTAGCTTTAAATCACAGTCAAAATGGGCTTCACAGGAGCCCTACCGACTGCTATGGGGGTCTAAACAGGGCCCACAGGGTGGTCGGCGGGCTCATTCAGGGGACTGAAGAACAGAAGCTTTTCTCAATTAAGAAGCTGTTTGTGTCCCTTTCACTCTAATCCCCTGTCCCCATCTGACCCGCTAGTTCTCCTTGAGAAGGTGCACGGCAGGCCTCCGCTTTGTCCCTAGGCTTGTTCTAAATCCATTGGAGTCTGAGCACAGAAACATTCATGACATTAAAGGGAAAACAGATTATCTTCAGTCTTGGTTTTTCCAACTGTATTTTCTTCCAGTTCCAGACAACAGAACCAGAGCAAGTGTGCAGTTAAACAACTCCGGATCTCTTACAAGCAGTCTGACTTCCCTCTCACGCTGCTCAGAGAAACCAAAATTATATTCGTGTGGCTGTAGGAGGATGTCCTTAGACAATTCTAGACCCCACTGTCCAACAGAAATACAAAGAAAGCCACACAAATAATTAAACATTTTCTAGTAGTAGTATTTAAAATTTTTGTCAAAGAAATTGATCAAATTAATTTTAATTTTAATAATATATTTCATTTAATCCAGTATGTCCACAATATTTCATTTCAATATATCATCAATTTTAAAATTATTGAGATATTTTACATTTTTTAAACTAGTCTTTGAAATTCAGTGTGTATTTCATGCTTATATAGCATGTCTCAATTTGTATGCTAAATTTTCATGAGAAATATTTCTTCTGTATATAGAGTCATAAAATTTACAGTTGGCTACTCAAGTTTTCCCAAACACTTTCAGTTTTCTAATTACTCAAGTATTGGTTTTTAAATTAAAATTAAGTAAACTTCAAGTTCAAATCTCCAGTCAAAGTAGTCCCATTTCCAGAGCTCAGTAACCACACCCGACTAGTGACTCCTGAGCTGCACAGCACCATTCCCGACTATGCCTAAACATGGTATAAAATTGTCCCAAAGCTTTAGTTAGGAACTAAAAAGGCAAACTCCATTCCAGGTGTTCAGACACAAACTGGAAAAACAATGGAGCTCTGAATCAGGAAGAGTTTGTCATTTGTCCCTTTGATCTTAGTAGCCTGTTTCTACTTCAAGGTTAGTCTCTTACCGAAGCAGGTCTGCCGGTCGGGGCCCAGCACGGTGCCTGGAGCACACGTGCACTCGCTGGCGCCCAAGCAGCTGCCGTGGCAGTCCTCATCGCAGATGTCATAAAAATCTACGGAAGGATGAAGATGGCTTCTGTGAGGACTAGGACCAGAGGACACTCTCATTCATGAATTCAATCTACTAGCTTCTAGCCAACATCAACAGAAGTCTCCACAATGGAATACTACTTGGTTGTAAAAAAGAAAAAATGTTATCCTTTGCGACAGTATGGATGGACTCGTAGAACATTATGCTAAGTGAAATGAGCCCGTCAGAGAAAAACAAATACCATATGATCTCACTCATATATGAAATCTAAACCACAACAACAAAAACAAAAACAAAAAAACAAGAAATCACACTGTTTAGGGATTACATAAGCCCAATGGAAAGAGATACGACCCAGGGATGTTTGTCATTCAGATCAGTGATTCCCAACTTCAGATCCACAGGCTCTTGTCTGGTCACAGAGCTTCTGCAAATCTAAAGTCTCACCAAGTATGAGTTATAGATTAAACAAACATTATCTCCTACTTTTCCTATGTACTCTTTTAAAAATGTATATAGATTTTGATAAGGGACTGATAACACAAAAATTTATTTTAAAGTATTATTAACCTAAAGTAGTTTTCCCTATATGATTAAAAAACATCAGTGGATACTAAGCACAATGCTATCACATAGATGGCTAATATAGATTTTAAAAAGGGGTCCTCCATACTTAAAAAGGTTAGAAATACACTACTTACACAACCTAAATCAACATTTCATTTTTTAAAAATTTTATTGTATTTTCCATTAGTATTTAGTCCCCTTATATTCTCCTGTATCACCCTCCTGTATCACCACACTGTTGTCATGTCTGTGAGTCCTTTTTCCTTTTTGCTCAATCCCTCCACCCCAACCTCCCTCACCCCTGCCCCACCCAGCTGTTTTCCTGCTATCTATGAGTCTGTCTCTACTTTGCTTGTTAGTTCAGTTTGTTCATTAGATTCCCCATATGAGTGAGATCATATGGGATTTGTCTTTTCTCTGACTGGCTTGTTTCACTTAACATAATGTTCTCCAGGTCCATCCACACTGTTGCAAAGGGTAAAACTTCTTTTTTATGGATGAGTAGTATTCCTTGAGTAAATGTCCCATAGTTGTTCTATCCACTCATCTACTGGTGGACACTTGGGCAGCTTCCATATCTTGGCGATTGTAAATAATGCTGCAATGAACACATGGGTGCTTATGTTCTTCCAGATTAGTGTTTTGGGTTCATTTTCTAGTGTTTTGTTTGAATGAAATGAAGACAAAATAAAACAGAAATGATGAAAGTCATAGCTCCTTTCCCTTTCTATTCTCCAGGAATTTTTCAGAAATTTAAGAAGAGATCTCAGAAATCACAATCTAGAGGTATATGTGGCTCTAAATCCATGTTACTCGGACTCTGGGATACGACCACACCTAAATTTCACATGGCACTTTTCTCTTTGATGCCTTGTGGGGGAGGATGAAGAGCATAGGGAAGGTACTTACGACCACAGTAGACATGAAAGCAGACACTAGGCTTGGTCAGGCGATACACATAGTAGCCCCTAGGGCAAGCCTTGACCTCCACGGTGGTGTTCCAGAGGCAGCAGTTCCCTCTGAAGCTTGCACAGGCCTGGCGCTGCACGATGCCCTCATCCTCTAGAGGGTGGCTGCCATTGAGCCAGACAGGCGCATGGGTCCCACAGCGGTTTTCTGGTATGCAAAAGGTGGGCATGGCATCTCCCGCCATGCTTGTGAAGCGGTACCACTCCCCGTCCACGTGGTTGTCACACAGAGGTGGGCCTTGAGACTCTTCGAACTGGTGGTCAGTGTTCCTCCAGGGCTCATTCAGACTGATGTAAGCAGAACAAGGATCTAGGGCTGGAAGCGAAGAGAACACCTCACAGGGACCTTGTGATATATCCCATCCCAGAGACCACCTGATATATCCCAGGCCTGAGCCCACCTTCTTGGTCCCGTGTTATCTGGGGTTCAGAAAGAAATACTCTAAAGTCCCCAAAAGTAGCTGTTTAAGATTCCCCAGGTTGACTTAAAACATGTTTCCCAAATGCCTTTTACAAAATTATTTCAAATCTATCTAAGGTTTAGTGTTAGCATTGGGCTAAACTTGTTATCCACAGAAATCAACTGATGGAAGGAGAGTCGTTCCAAAGAAGGGAGGTCAGGGTTACAGTCTCATTGAACTCTGCGCTGGCAGACAATATTTCGAGTATTGTGTTCAGACCTGGAGGCGATACTTCCTGGAAGCAATGAACAAACTTGGAATCCGGAGGAAGGTGACTAGGCATAGAAGGAAGCTTTAAATAATTTACTCGGGAAGGAGCTGAGAACTGCAGTTTAAAGAAGACTGAAAAATATGCATATTATTTTTCAAATGTCTGGATTAGGCTTGTAGAAGAGGAGTTAGGTATTCAGTTATAGGACCAAGAACAAATTGTTATCGGGAAGCAAATTTTGTTCAGCTATCTAGTCACAGAGAGGTATCACAGTGTGGTAAGCCGCTCATCTTTGGAAATTTTCAAAAAGTGGTCATTTGTAAGCACAATTGTAGCTGGAATTTTGCACTAGTGGAAAGTTTGACTTGATAATGAATGTGTGAAACTCATCCTACTGAAGAGGAAACAGCCTCTGGCACAAGTCACGTGAAACACATGGAATACTGGCAAGTGGTTACGGAAGACAGTCTCAGAGTGAGTATGTTCCATCAGGCCATTGGAAATATTGTGAACTTCGTAGATTCACAATTGGCCAGGGCATCACCATGTACAATAGGGCAGAATTTTTCTGGTATGCATTCTTAGTGTATACCCCGCATGGACAAGCATCTCATCAAAAACATTTTAGTGAGTAAAGACGTCAATATTCCCAATATTCTCCTTGCTTCCCTCAACTTCAGGAAAACATTGAACTAATGTAGGCAAATTGTCTGTATGAAGAAGCTATAAAACCAAGAAATTCTAGAAAGGAGCACTAGCCAGGGAGTACGATCATTCTTATGCATGTCAAGTTGACTTAACCGGCACTGCAGGCAGGGAACTCACACTAAGCCAACACAGGTTGTGGGCGGGAATTTCGGTTTTAGCTGATAACACACACTAATTAAGTGCAGATGGGGCATGATTGCAAAGTCTAAGCTGTCTAGAAAGTATTTTGGATTTTTCCAGTCTACATTTCACACTCAAGTTTACCCTCTAAACTTCACCTGCGGGTAGAGGAGGGTGCAGCCTCCTGCTCATGGCTCCAGGGAGCATGTGACCGTTAGGGGCAGGAAATAAGTAGGATGCTGCCCTTTCTGGAAATAACACACTTGCCAAGCTGCACTTGGCCGAGCAACCCTGTCCTCTAGAATGTCCCTGAGGCCTCACAACAATGCCCTAGATCAAAGCTCAGTGTCCCCAGGGGAAGGAATGTCCTCAGACAGACTCTCCTCTCAGAAGGGAAAAATTCCCTCATCTGCTCTCCCAGCTGTGGGTTTCCAGGGCAATCTCACAGGTGATTATAAATTCATAGAAATATTTGTTTGGTTCTTTTCCTTGGCTGTAATTTTATAAGAAATGGTTAGGTACTCGACTTTTAATGATTTTTACAGAAATTCCCAAACGTTCCTCAATAACTGTTTTATGATTTATGTTTTTCCTTAAATTTAACTGTAATTTCTTGTGCTCTCTGTTAAAGTTCACTTCTGGCTATAGGGGGGATATGGCACACACAGGACAGAGTTTCCTACTAACTCCTGTAAAATAAATAAATAATATGTTTTTAAAAAGTAATCCCCGCAATAGTCCTAACATTAAATATACCCATTCACCTCCACCTCTTTTAAGGCAGTAATTCAGTCCTTTGGTAACCTGTTCATTCCTGTTTCCAGCCTCTCAGCATGGAGCCCGCAATTCCATATTATGCACACGGGCATCCTAAACTGCTGACGTACAGACACGCCTCAGTCGGGAGAGCTCAGAAAGAACAGCCCTGTGGTGTCCTTTCAAAGGTCGAGTCAGGAGGGCCTCGGCCTGCCAGAAAACTCCTCTGCCTTTACCAGGACATCCGCCTGCCAGCCATCCAGCAGGCCGCCCCTCTGGGGTCCCCACAATGGGGACGCTGGGACTTCTGTGCACCCCAGGCACGGCACCTCGTGGTGGCCAAGCGCCGGGGCCAAGGGTACTGTCAACGTCCCAGAACTTTTGTCCCAGGGTTTGCAGAACCAGAATCCCCAACCCTCCGGAGTCCTTGCCCTGGAAGCTGCCCCTCGATCAGGCTCAGTCCTGGACGCCCCCTCACTTCCCTTCCCTCTCCGCTCCCTGTCTTCTCTACTCTCCCCCTTGGCTCCCCGCGTCACCCCCCTCTTCTCCTTTCCCTTCTCCACTCCCTTTCTGTCACCTCCCCTCCTTCCCAGGGCAAGCATCCCCCCAGTCCCTCACTGCAGACACCCGGAGTTACCTTTTTATCTATCTTTCTTTGGGCAAGGGGTCAAAAGTCCTAGAAGGGCTGGGGGCAGGGCGGGGGCGCGGGGAGGAAATCTGGGAAGGGAGAAGGCATGTGATTGGGAGGCACAGGAGGCCCCCCTGGGGAGAGGAAGAAAGGCAAGCGACTGGGAAAGGGAGCGAGGTTGAGGGGAGGACGGCTTTTGCTTAGGAGACTCTTGGTTAGTTGTGGGCCACAGATACTGGGTGATGAAACCTAGTTCAAGCTGATCTTTTTTACGTAGACTACTAAAAACAGTTTTAGATTGAGGATAATGGAGAAGATAGTACAAAGAGTTCCCACATACCCTACACCTGCTTTTCCCTATTATGATACATTATACATGGTACCTTTGCCACAATGAATGAACCAGTGTTGACACATTATTATTAACTCAAGGACACAACTTATTTAGGTATTCTTCATTTTATCGTCTTTGGCCCCATTCCAGGATTTCATCCAGGATAAAACACTACATTTAGTTTTCATGTCCTTAGGGTCTCAAGCCTATTTCTAGTGTGTCTCCTCAAAGGTGCTAAAGCGAGGCCTGGCTCAGGGTCAGCAAAGTGCTGAGTTCCTCAAAAGTGCCAAGGACGAATGTTCTCTCCGTTTCAACCTCCTCTCACATTCTCTTCCAATTAGAACTTAAATTCTGCCGGAAAAGGGAGAGAGACATTTGTTAGTAACTGGAATGGAAACTTCAGCTCGTTGGCCAGTTTTGTGTCGGCCTGAGCAGGGAGACAGTTTAAGACTCTTTTGGCCTGTGCACAGAGACGTGCTTCCAGATGCCGAGGCTGAGAAGTTTAATTTACCAGATCTGTGCCTTTCACAGAGCTATGGCTTGCAATTCGTCTCTTGGAAGTATTAAAGAGAAAAGCTCTATCCTCAACTCTAAACATCGCCGTTTTTGCTCTTAAAGTAGTAACTATAGAAGTGCCTCAAATATAAAGAGGTCAGGCTTCCTTTTACACGCACACACGCACTGTAAGCAACGTTTAGCTAGTGGAAAGCTGTTGGCAATGGCCGATCCAAGGAAATTTTGGCTGCCCAGGCAAGAGGCTAAGAAAACCATGAAACAGAAATTCTCTGAAAATATATCATCATAGGTTATCAGTGACTTTTCTTACACTACTGTAGGCCCAGTATTTCAGATACTAGAATATAGCTCTTAATAATCTGTACATAACAGCAATTTCCCACACCAGAAAGTTCAGGATGCCGACTGCGTGCCACTAGACTCACCCATTGGTGCTGCAGGTGTAACCGTGATGAAGAGGCAGGTGAGAAGCAGCAACTGAGGCATCCTTCTGGATCAGCCACCAGAAGCAGACTGGAAACTCCTCGTAATTTCAGTTTCCTTTTGTCCCCTTCTTTTTCAGAGCACTTTTTAAAAAGCCTCGAGGCTCTTGTGAAGAAAGACTTTTCAGTGCTGCTTGGGGCTTTATCAGAGGAAAAGGATGAGCAAGATAAGCTGTCCATTGCTCTGGCCTTGACCCCACATAGACGCACTGCTTTACACTGTCAACCGGGTTACTTTATTGATATATTTCTTTGGGGAAAAAATACTTACAACCACTCATCCTCCTATTGTTTTCACATGAGAATTCCCTGCAATGAGGCCTCTGTATCTTATCCAGAAGGGAACTGTAAATGAGGGGCGTCCCTCACGTCAAAATCTTATTTTGTGACCTCTAGGAATTGACTTTGTGATGCTGCAGCCACGCCACTGCTACGAAGAGAGGACGGGAGGAAGCCCAGTTGCTGGAGCTGGTCATTGAGAAGTGTCATGTTCAGAAGGTCAAGTAGTTTATAAGAGCGCACAGAAAGGTAGTAAGGACAGTTGTGGAATGGGGATGATACTCTCTTATAGCAAACCCCTAAGTCTTTTATTGTGATCTTTGGTCTCAAAACTTCTTAAAGAAATAGGTTTAACTTGTGTTTTTATCAATTTAAGCAACAATAAATATATATTTTCATGGTGCTTCTCTTCCCCCAATTTAAAATAGTTTAGTATCATTTATTTTACTAATTCTCACACTAAGCTAGGGGTAGGGATTTCAAATTAGGAACTATTCCTTATGGACAACACTGGAAAGTAAGTGACACATTTTACTAGAGCTTCATTTTTAGCCGAGAGAGGGAAAACATAGAGACCTGTCTATAACGTGTCCCAGACGCTATTGGAGTAATTACAGGCTTGAAGTTGGCTAGCTCCCTAGCAGTCCACACTGCGGGTACCTGAGAACTGGCACACGCTGTTACTGAAGGTGATGTTAAGGTGAGGGATAAAAAGAAGGGTAGGGGAAAGGTTTCTGTGTGTTTGTTTTTAAGTCCTATATTAAATAAGGATCTGAATGAAATAACTTTTCTTCCCTGATTTTACCTGGACCAGATGCTTTGGGCTTCTGTTACTCCTATACTTTTTCTCTTCTCTGTTTCTTTCCGTGACAACCAAATGTTTAGTGACTGAGAAAAGACAACTATTGTCTTTAGGAAGTAGTCCTTAAATTTATCTTTAAAATATTTTAGCACAATTTGTTTTACTATGCTAAGTGGCAGTCAAATGATTGTGGCCCCTTTCCTCTAAGGGTTTCCGTTCAATTAAACACTAGTGCTTATACTAGGGTTCAGATGCTGGGCCAGTCCCTGGTTTTTGAGAGGGAAAAGCGGTCCCTGCAAGCACAGAGTTTGATGGCTAGCAAGGGATTTCCATGGACATGAACTTGTAGGTACTTGATCACTAATACTAGCGGAACACAGGCAACTTGACCATTAGCTGAAGTTGCAATTTGATGTCAGCAGTGAACGACTCTAGGACTGAGGAGCTGTCTCAGGCAGGGCAGTGCTGCTAAGTGTCAGAGTGCTCTCGACAGAAAACAACAGAACCCTGCAATTTCCTGTCCCTGAGAAGCTGTCTGAGTGCTTGGTGTGGGCTGCAAATCACCAGAGGACGTGCAGTCGAGATAAACCCAGATTTGCTGCCAGGATTGATTGCTTGAGTCAAGGACTTTTAGCAGATAGCCCCCTAGGTTCTGTAAACAAGCATTCCCAGGATGGAAGGATTTTTTTTTACCCCATTTTTTTTCAGTTGACCTGCCTTTTCATTTTAACTTTTTATGATGAAAAAATGTAAATATATACAAAGGTAAACAATAATGAACACCCAGCAGCAATTGCTAACGTTTGTCATTCTTATTTCATTTATATATCAGTAGGCATTTCTAACACAGGAATGTTTCCATTTTCCATTATCGTAATATCATTACTACTTCAAAAACTTAGTAATAATTCCTTCATATCTAATGCCCATTCCATATTTAAATTTCTCCAATTATTTAAAAAATTTCTTTGTATTGCTGGTTTGAGACAGTCAGGATCCAAACAAGAATCATATTCTTAAGTATTTTAAATCTATAATGGTTCCCTCCCCCCATTTGTTCCAGAATCCAAGTCATTTGTCCTATAGAATGTCTCATAGTCTAGATATTGCTTCTTGTGGAGTCTTTTAGCCCATATTTGATGTTAATTCTTTTTCATATTTTCTTTTTTTCTAATGTGTGTGCTATTAGAAATTAAAAACAAAAATATGGCCCTGGCTGGGTGGCTCAATTGGTTGGAGTGTCATCCCTTACACCAAAAGGTTGCCGGTTTGATTCCTGGTCAGGGCACATGCCTGGGTTATGCGTTTGATCTCCAGTGGGGGCATATGCAGGACGTAACCAATCAATGTCTCTCTCTCTCTCTCTCCCTCTCTCTAAATCAGTAAACATATCCTTAGGTGAAGATTAACTTAAAAAAAAAAAACTACACTGGTGATACTGAAAGAATTTAATGCACATGGAAGTGCTGGAAATAGATCAGTTAGGAGGTGGATAAAGCAATCTGCTGTTCAGGATAGATCTCGGGGAGAGGAGTGGATGATCATCCATGGAAAATGGGATCCAAGATTGAACCTCAGACAAGCCCAAAGATGTGGGCAGAGGAAGAGGATGCTGCAAAAGAGACTGAGTAGTATTCAGATTTCTAGAAGGAAATCCAGGAATGGAGTCATAGGAGCTGAGGGCAGCTTCAAGGAGGAGGAACTGCTCAGTGGAATGATTCATTTATAGAACATATGTAAATGAAAATGTATAGAGTGGGTCATTTTATATTCAGTAGGCTACACTAAAATTAACCTATACATTCATCCTAAGGAAGTAATCATGTAGTGTGTTTTAGAGATAAGGAGTTTGGACATACAGGAGAGCAACAAACTAAAGTTTGTTGGCAGTGGTAAAAGTGAATCACAGCCCTTAACAATTTGGTGAAACTGAGTTCTAAAATCTAGTAAGTTCCACTTCTTGTGAAATCTTTCCTGGTACATTTTAAATTTCAACCTATTTTTCTTGTAGTCATCTACTACGTGCTTACCACGCTACAGCCTGACAAGGAAGATACATTAGCATGTGAGGCGTGAACTCTATTCCTCCCATTCACCACATTCGCCATACTCACCAGTCCTCCAGTCACTTGCTTGGGTTTGATTGAAAAGTTGAACGAGTTGTGACATAGCTGCTCTCTCTGTGCCTCAGTTTCCCTCTCTTTAAAGCATTGGTTTGATGAAATCAATGGTTTGCATCAGAATCATCAGGAGGACTTGTTATTGTTGGCTCCCTCCTACTTTCTGATTCAGTAGGGGGCAGAAAACGTGCATTTTTAAGACAGAGATGCCAAGCTCCTGCTCTAGGGACCCTACTCCCAGAATTCTTTTACTTTTCCAGCTCTACAAATCTATGACCTCTTAGCAAAACTGCATTATCAACACTCACTAATGGATTTAACACTCTCCATGATCTCCACTGAAAATTTACTAAAGTCTAACAGAATGTCATGGAATATATAGATGGTATTTGTTGAATGCAAACAAGAGCTTAACAGTTTCAATCTTCTACGTACACCATGCACATATCTTGGGGATATCCATTAGGTTGCTGGGAGCACTTTAGGTAGCTAAGGAGACTCTTTTACATCTTATACCACACTAAATGCAGTCAGAATTTAATACATTTTTAATTCAGACACTTAATGCAATTTTTTCCTTCAATAAATTTATTGGAGGTAACACTGTTTAATAACATTATGTCAATTTCAGGTATACAATTCTGTAATGTGTCTGTATATTGCATGTGTGCTCACCACCCAGAGTTTAGTCTCCTTCCAGCGTCATATATTTGACCCTCTTTATTCTCCTCATCCTTCCCTCACCCTCCCTTATCCCTGGTAATGACTGTATGTTGTTTGCTTCTATGAGCTTGTTTTGTTTGTTCATTTGTTGCTTTGTTTTAGATCCCACATGAGTGAAATCATAGGGTTCATGTCCTTTTCCTTATAACTTATTTCACTTAGCATGATACTCTCAAGATCCATCCACTGAAATAGCAATTTCATCCTTTTTATGGCTGAATAGTATTCCACTGTATATACATATCACATCATCTTTATCCAGTCATCTGTCAAAGGACACTTAGGCTGTTTCCATGTCTTGGCTATTGTGAATCACGCTGCAATAAATACAGGGGTACACATATCTTTACAAATAAACATTTTCAATTTGGGGGGATATACACCCAGGAGAGGGATTGTTGGGTCATATGGTACCTCTATTCTTAATTTTTTGAGGAACCTCCATACTGTTTTCCATAGAGGCTGTACCAATTTACATACCCATCAGCAGTATATGAAGTTTCCCCTTTCTCCACATCTTTGCCAGCACATCTTGTTTGTTGATTTATTGATAATAGCTATTCTGACTGGTATGAGGTGGTATTTCATTGTGGCTTTAATTTGCATTTCTCTTATGATTAGTGATGTTGAACATCTTTTCATATGTCTATTTGCCATCTATATGTCCTCTTCGGAGAAGTGTCTGGTTTGGGCCTTTGGCCCATTTTTAATTGGATTGTTTTTTACTTGTATGAACTACTTGTGAATTTTGGACATTAGCCCATTTTCAGAGGTATCATTTGCAAGTATCTTCTCCCTTTTGTTTTGTTGATGGTTTCCTTTGTTGTGGAGAAGCTTTATAGTTTGATGTAGCCCCATTAATTTATTTTTGCTTTTATTTCTCTTGCATTTGGTGTCCAGTTCACAAAAAACCCTGAGACCAGGTCCACAGTTTGGTGCCTGTTTTCTTCTATGTATTTTATTGTTTTAGGTCTTATATTCAAGACTTTAATCCATTTTGAGTTAATTTTTATGTGCAGTATCAGCAATCTAGTTTCATTCTTTTGTATGTGGCTTTCCAATTTTTCTACTACCATTTATTGAAAAGGCTTTTCCTTTTTCCATTGTATGTTTTGGCTGCTTGGTCAAAAAGCAGTTGCCCATATATGTGTG